GGGTAAATTCAATGGTCACAGTGTCAAACCTAACCAAATAAGAATATGTTTAGATCCTAGAGATTTAAATAAAGCTATAAAATGAGAACATTATCCATTGATGAAGTTGTCACTAGAATGCCAAACACAAAAATATTTCCTGTTTTAGATGCTAATAGTGCTTTTTGGCAAATCCAGTTTGACAAAGAAAGTAGTTTGTGTACATTCAATACACCTTTAGGCAAATACAAATTTAAAAGATTACCATTTGGAATATGTTCAGCTCCAGAAATTTGCCAAAGAAAATAAAGCCAAATAATAGAAGGTCTAGAAGGCGTTGAATGTATTACAGATGATATCTTAATGTGGGGATCTAATGAAAAGGAGCATGAGCTACGACTTAAAAAGTACTCGAGAAAGCATGAAAAAATAATCTGAAGTTCAATAAGGCTAAATGTAAAATAAAAGTTAATCGTGTGAATTATATAGGGCATGAGTGAAGTGAAAATGGACTAAAACCTGATTTTTGCATTTGCTAACTATGCTGGTATTGCGGTTCTCTGTAATATAATACATTCTATGATTATATAAATAAATAGTTTATAAAAACTAAAAGTGCACCCTCATTATTTTATACTGGCAGTTGAAATTTTATTTAAAAAATAATATATTTACTCCTATTTGTTGAAATAATTCAAAGTATCACAAATAAAAAAATTTTAAAATCCAAAGTACATATAATCAAAAAAATCATGTAGTTAATTCAATTTAACAACCCAGCTCCATAATAAAATATTCTTTATAATACTTCCAGACTCTTAAGATAGGAAAACCTCAATATTTTATAGGTATGTACAATTTGTCCCATATAAAATAAGTTCTTGTACATTGCATCAAAATACACACCACCTCCCATTTCAAAAAGCAAATGAGCATTTATTAACTTCATATAACTGAAAAACATGAAAATCAATCCCAAGATGAGCAAAGAAATTGCAAGTTCCTCGTTGTAATATAGTTTATTCCCTCTAATGTTCTAAACTTTGTATCCCTAGCTGGCAAATTAGATATCAAAATTAAATTCAAATTTACTATTCAAAAATACAGAGAACTGCACTAACAGTTCAAAAACATATTTGAATTAGGAACAAAAAAAAAAAAAAAAAAAGCTACTTTTGTTGGATTATGGTAAAACATGCTGAGGCTATTTGCTATCAAATTCTATCACCGATAAGAATAAAATTCGATAAAAGAATTAGAAATCTCGTAACAAATTTTGCAGCTATAATACAAAAACTTGATTTCGCGATTCTATTCGGAACTGCATTTTACAATATTAAATGTGGGAAACGTAACACATGAGAAAGATTTTGCAACTAACACTCAACTTTTACAAATAACCAGTATTTTTCATTTATTCAGATCAAATAGTAAGCAACAAAAACAGTTTCTATGTATAGTGATGACAATAAGTTTTAAAGTAGATGAGCAGATTAATTTCTTTTTTGAAAGATCCACTATCAAGATTCTTTACACTTTTAATTTCAAAAATTTTTTTTCATAGTAATCATTTCATTTCATAAGTAATCATAAAAATCTACATTTTTATAATTTAAAAAAAGGAAAGTAACAATGAAACTAATTTTAGACATGAAAAAAAAGCATGGCAAGGGAAGAAACATCAAACTGTGTAATCAAAAGGCATTTTTATCCAACTTTTTGTGGAAAAGTAGGAAATCCTATGAAGAGATCCTACGAGGTTCATACACATTTTTGCATAAGTACTTTTGAGGACCATCAATAAAAAAAATTAAGGACCTATCATCAACTGGAAACAGGATATAAGTTAAGACAATTATCTATGCCAAAACTCAACTTTTGTAATGTCATTCTAGGAATAAATCAGATCTGTACGTAGGGTGTATTCTTTAAATACCCTAATAGTTAACATAAATATAAAACAAATTTGAGAATAAAATAAACTTTGAAATAAAATTTTAATTAAGATTAAAATTTTAAATAATAATAAAATTAAAACTTTTACTGCTAACAGAAATTTTAGATCCTGACATTTTTTCAAAGCTGTGAAAAATTTTTACCACTCTTACATTTATTGTTTCAGTTGAATGAATGTCCAAGCTCAAAATTACAAGCTTCACCTCCGAAGTCTGATTTAATTGATATTCAACATTTGAATCATACAACTGAATTAAACTTTTAATAAAAAAATTAAGGGGAAGGGAAAAAACTCACATAAATGAGCAGCAAAAAATAAAAATAAATAAAATAAAAAAAAAATAACTGAATAAAATTACTTAGTAATCAAATTAATCTTCGGCAAATAATAAAAAAAGGGAAGGGGGAATGGATAATTTCCAAGCTAATACAGTTTAAAAATTTTTGAAACAAAAATAAAAATCAACAGGGTTAGTAGATAGTAAATCTGCTTTTAGTCCATGCATATACTCTTTCAAAATAAGATTATTAATTTATATTACAGCCAGGGGCGTAGCTAGAGGGGGGCAAGGAAGGCATCTGTCACCGTGCGCAGAATCCAAGGGGCGCCAAACTGATGTTACAACATTTTAGAATTAAATGTTTTCCATTCTTGGCAAGCAGTAGGGGGCGCGAAATCTTCAGTTGTCCCTGGGCACTGAAAACCCTAGCTACGACTCTGATTACAGCCCTGACCAATTAACTGTTGGCACATTTTCTTCAACACATAAATTCTATCCATAACACTTGTATTCTCTTCCATGCCTCAAACTAGGGGTGCAAAACCTTTTTAGCAAAAGGGCCACTCACGGAAATGACTTTGTTGACGAGGGCCAACAGCACATACAAAAAAAAAAAAAAAAAAGGGGGCAATGCAATAAGTTGCTTAATTTACAATTCTGTATTATATCAAATTTAAGCTGATTTGGAGACCATTACATATGAATGTAAGCAAGGAGGGCGAAGGGTTTTCCTTCCATGTGCTACTGGGACCAACACATCAATCAGTTTGAAAAAATTCGTAGTTTATGTTTGCACATTATTTAATATATAAATACTTTAATAAAAATGTGCACAAGTTAGCCATTGTGTGATGATTGAGACTGAATTTTATCAACGATTTTTAATGTACTTGGTTAAAAGCTAGTTGTCGATATTCTTAAAAGACATTGCAAGTACTGATTTGTCAGTTTATTTCTTAATTTTGACTTATTTAGATTCATTAGAGAAAACGTATGTTCACATATATAAGTACTACCAAACATGGTAGCACAACTGTTTGCATTATTTTTTAAGCACAAAAATTCAGCAGGTAGAGTTTTATAAAAGAATGTCTAAATCTGGGTTTGCATTAGTCAGAAGTTTGTAAATCAATAAGTTCCATTGGAACATCTGGAGCTTCTTCGACTACAACAGAAAACGGATTCAAAACAGTTTAAATTTAACTAACTCGTAATCTGTAATTAGAGTTTCAAATGAAGTAAGCAGCATCTTTATTTTATCTGATTTAGTTCTTTAAGAGTTTCTTCACACAAGGAAAATTGACAAAATTTTGACAACCAAGTTGCTTTGAGAACAGCTGGAGTTTTATTTTGAAGGCAGATACTGCACTAGCTAGTTGACTGATGAACTGGGTTTTCATATCAATTTTTTTATTTAGGTCATTCAGATAGGCTGTCACATCAACTAAAAATGCTAAGTCACATTTGAAAGACGGTTCCTTTAACATTCTAGTTTGCTTGTCTTTTTCTTCAAGGAATAGTATTATTTCATCAATCAGCAAACCCTTTTCAAAGCCTTTAGATGGCTTAGCCACCATACTTCAATATAAGAGATCACTATGTGGCACATCTGTGTTTTCTAGGATTTCCTTAAATTGGCTGTGGTTTAACCACTTGCGCTAAAAAGACGTGCCACGCACGTCGAGATGCTTTGTCTCAATCCACGTGCAAAAATGAAAATAACGAGATGCACACGTCGCCTAACACTGAGATTGTTTATTTCTTGAGTTACAGCTCTGGAGTGCACTCTCAGACACAGAGCGGCGTAAATGAGACACTTTACCGCTTATTATATTGTAGCGTACGGCACCGCAAAGTTTAGTCGTAGCGCAAGTGGTTAAACAACGTGAGCAAACAAAATTTATTGTATCTCTTACCACCTTCATTAGGAGGTCAAATCCATCAGCAAGCCACAGGTTGTGCATCCCTACTCAAACAATTCTATGTAATTTTCAAAGTTTAACTACTGTTCTAATTTAGACTCCATCAAACCTTCATTTTTCTCATTTTATACCCATTCTTTTAGACTTATATCACAGACGAAATTCGTTAGCTATTATAAAAGTCAAACTACTTCAAAGCAGATTACGAAAAAATAATTACCAACAAACTAGCAATAGCTGGTGTAAAATACCACTTCTTCCTTTGAAAACTGAAGCAGTGTACTGATTAATATTAAAAAGCACTGCACTTAACAAATAAAGCATCGGCTTTTGGTGGAACATTGCCATTACTTTACTGTTCAGTCACTGGCAATGAACATATTGAGCAGAAATAATACATTCTAATAAGTTTCTTGACCCCCTATTCTTATGGAAAGGAGGAAAAAAAGACATGTAGAATCTTCGGCCTTTTTAAATGAAATATATGATTTTCATGAGAAAATATGCACCGCTTAAGTTGCTAATTGCATACAATACTCCCCACCCCCACTTAATTTATCCAAGCATACTAATAAATGGCCACTGACCAATAAAGTAGATTTACTATTTTTAGTTTCAACTGACTGAAGCTGAAAATATTTTGATGCACAGAGTTTTGTCAATCGTTTTATAATATTAAATTATTTATACTTCGAAAAAGAGAGAAGGGAAAAAATATAAATATATTTATTACATTTGTTTAAATTGAGGGAATAATTTTTAAAAAAAATTTGCATTCAGGGCAAGAGCTGGGTGCACAAAGATTCAAGTGCTCATAACAAAACAGAAAAGAAATAAAATTGTGTGAAATTTTAAAACTTACTGATTTAAGTTAATGACACCATAATATTGAATTTCTAGAATTGATCTGCTTTCTGAAAAATAGATGATATTTTGCTTCAAAATAAATAAAAAAATGAACTTTTGACATCAAAATCAAAAGTTTCTTCATTTAGCACGATTTTTACGAGTTCATTTTGATAGGGAAAAAAATCTTATTTATAAAAAAACGAGGAAAATTAACTTATAGTTTTGCAATTATTATTAATGAAAATTATTAAGGCAAAATAGTGATAAAATATTAACTTATAACAGAAAATAAATACGTGTAAATTAGACTTACATGCGTAATATTCACTCCAGTCAACTGACTTACGACTTGTGGCACTTTGGCAATAATATCCAGTATTTCTCCAGTTAATTTACTCGCTCCTATTTCACTTTTGCCAGATGATACCATAGTAACTTTTCTACACTGAGAGAGAGGTGCTGAAACTTCGGCTGCCACCTAAAATGTTCAAATGAAAACAAAAAAACTTTTTCAAATTTCTAAGAAACAAATTTTAAATTCAAACTGAAACACCTCTAAATAAAAAAAGTTCTACAGGTATGTATATGTCAAAATATTTTGATATATACTGATACAAGCACACAAGATATGATGCTCATGAAAGCCTACTTTTTCAGATTAAATCTTTATTAAATTTTAATAAAATTTTTAATTAAATTTCACTAAATTCTGAGTTTAGTACAATGCAATCTCTGAAATTCACAAAAGGATGAGAACATTTTTCTCTGAGAATTTCAAAGAAAAAATTATGTATTCAAAATTAGTTTTCAAAATTATTCAAAATCTACATTAAATATAACAGAAATGTACATAAATTTTACCAGGTACCAATTAAAAATGCAACAACTCACAATGGTATTAAAGCACCATTATTTTTTCCTTTATTTAGTCGACTATGGCAAAGCACTTAGTTAACTTATGGGAAGAATGCACTCACAGTCACATGTGGCCACATGCAGTCATGTAGTCGCATGCAGGCAAATGTGACTACATGCGGCCAGCACACATTCAACATACGGCCTACATAGTTGCTGAAAACCGAACCCAGATTTAACTATTAGTGTTCCACAATCTTACTTGGCCACTGGAAGTCTGTTCTAAATTAAGGTTATGTATTCTTTCCTACATTCAATTTTAGCTACTTTTTAACAGTGTTGTGATCATGGAATAAAACTCGCTTTCAATACTTTAGATAGGACTAGAACTGCTTCCTTGTTTAACATATTTTCTCACTTGACATAATTCCTTCCTAAAAAGGACTCTTAATCCAATCCATTCTGCAAAAAAAAAAAAAAAAAAAAAATTGTCATTCTGAATTTAGCTGTTCAAAATGTATGAAAAAGCATCACAATTTGCTGCATTTCACCAAACAAGATATTCCACAATCGTCTGTTGCCTTTTCAGGTTGTGAGGAAGGAGAAACATCAGTTGATAATTCTAACTCTCCTTTGATTAAGAATTTAGAGCTCAATGAAGATGCAGGGTGTTTTGAACTGTTATCTCAGTGCAATCAAATAAACAAATCAGACTTTGTTAGTTTGCCTGTAAACTGGTTCACATATGATTTCAAGGGAAGCGTTATCTACTACAATTATTTATGTTAAAGATTCTTGTGGGAATTTTATCACTTGCAGAGCATTATTAGACAGTGGCAGTCAATGTTGCACATTTATCTGCAAGTTCACTTAAAGCTTGGAATAAAAAAAGAATAAGATTAACATCAACACTAACGAACACTGTCCTGGAAGAGAAAATAAAGTGGCAGATACATTATCAAGATTTTAGTTAGATGAAACTGGGGATCAAGTAAAATGCAATATGTTAACATTTGTCATTTTAAAGTATCTTAAAAGTCAGATAAAATAAAGTAGATATAAAGTAAAAATCATAATAAAGTCAGATAAAATAAAGAATGTTATATGTTAAGGGGTGTTGGAACCCCAAAATCTTCAAAAAATTGTGATTTCGGATTTTTGCATTTTCAAATTCTGTACACTTTTATCTTTCTAAAAATACCATTCTTTAATCCCTATGAAAATTAGAACTGTAAAAAAATCTAGTTTTAATTTGTCACTTACTGCTTTTATCAATGAGGATTTTTGCATAAAAATGTGTTTTTCTCCTAAATGTGATTTTTTATACTCTGTGTACCTTTTCTCAGGAACTGCCTCTCATAGGTACGTAATTTTTTATGGCTTATTTATTATGTTTCCTAATACATACTTAAATAAGCTTTTTGTAATAAACTTAGAAATAATTTTTTAAAAATTTTTTTGTTTGAGAAAAGTGCTAAATTTTACGATGCCTAACAAAATATTCTGTAAATTTACTGCTAAAATTCAAAATGTTTCAAAAGCTCGTTTCAGTATAATCAGATAGGTGTACTTTAATTACAGAAAAAATCTTCAATCTTGTATCTACAGCAGATTTTGAGAAAAGGTACATCGAAAATGGCCAATTTAACATTGTTGGTATAGGGGTTTCTGATACCCCTTAAGGATTACTGATGATTTTCTAAATGGTGTGAATTAATACCATTATATCATCCTTCAACTAGTGTCTTATCAAATGAGCTTTAACCCATTCAGTACGGGCATGTCATATGTGCATCAGCAGCAAACATTATCTCACGGCCAGGTGTGTCATATTTGAATCACCATTTAATTCACTCTACCAGCCCGCCATACCACATTTGACTTTTTAGATAGAAAGTTTAATTAATATTTTTTGTTGCCGCTAGATGTAGCTGTATGCCTGTTATACGGAAATATATCGAAAGTTAAGTGTGTTTACCTTCATTCCTATGCAATGATTTTTATTTTTGGTAATTTGTTTCGGAATGAGAGTGAGATTTATGGGTAGGTGTTGAGCAATGTAATGTCTCTTTAACTACCTCATTTGATATAAAGAAATGCACGTACTCTCGCTCTCCCTGCATTGAGGTACTTTTTATTTTTATTTTTGAGACACAATCCCTAATTTGTTAGTGTTAAGTAATGTAATGGCTCTTACTGCCTCATTTTATATAAACAAACTCGGCTGGCTTTTAACTGTACTGGAAAAATGGCTGAAGGGAACACCAAACGTTAAATTTAAAAACTGCGTAGAATTTTACTCTGCAGAACAACTTCATCAAAAATGTTATTACATATAACAAAATTACAATGAAATAAGCAATATCCCTTAATACAAATATTAATTATCCTAATAAATTAACCAACTTCCTTTTGCAAAATCTTAAGAACTCAAATGGTATAAGGAGGTTAAGAACTTTGTTTCCTAAAAAAATCACTCAAAACTTTTAAATATCTTAAAGACAGTGAAATGAGCAATCAATAACATAAAAGAATACAAAAAATTCTGAAAAGCAAAGTATAATTAATGATATTTTATCTTATATTTTCAAGAGAAAAAAATTACAATGAAATAAGCTATATCCCTTAATACAAATATTAATTATCCTAATAAAAAATTAACCAACTTTTTGCTGAAGAAAAAAAATCATGCAAAACTTTTCAATATCTTACAAACAGTGAAATAAGCCAAAAAATAACATGAAAGAAACTCAAAAAACAAAAAATTCCATGCAGAATTTTACTCTGCAGAATAACTTTATCAAAAAAAATCAATGAAAAATGTATTATATATATAAAAAAATTATAATGAAATATGCCAATCTCTTAAAAACAGTGACATAAGAAATACGATGAAAAATTGCTGCCAAACCCATATCTCTAAAAGAATGAAACTATTCAAAATGATGCGATTTCATCAAAAATCTATCAACAACAAAAAGACAGGAAAATTGTTGCCAAAATCGCATTTTTAAAGAAGTGAAAAGTGTACTCGGAAGCTTCATTTAAAAATTGTTTAAAAAATACAAAATATTATTTTTCCAAAATTCTTTTAGTAAAAGCAGTCGCAAGGATTTTAAAAAATAAACATTTTTAGAAAAAATCCCGCTGAAAAGGTGTTAAGCTCCCTTTGCTAAATAATTTCGTATTTAATAGATTTATTGAAACACGAAATTTATTTTAAGTTCGTAAAATAGCTAAGTGCCTACGTTTCATGATGATGTGAAAATGGAGTGTATAAAGTAAAATCTCACTTTCCTATAGCCCATTGTGTCTCAAAATGACGCAATTTCATCACAAAACATAAAATTTAAATAATTCCAATTCGAATTTCGAAAAAAATCGCTTCGAGGTGCACTGGCTCTTGTCTAGATGCACCTATGTACCAAACTTCATAGCCGTGGGTCTATTAACTTACGCACAGCACGAACGAAAGACACACACAGACAGACTTTCTTTTATTATATGTAGAGATGAGACTATGTTCTCCATACTCTGGAATACTTTTAATTTAATTATTAATTTTTCTTATTTTTATTTTATTTTATATCAGTTATAGTGGAGTAGATGTTCTATCATTAGAGACTTTATTACTCTGAGTTTTCTCACATTGAGACGAATATTTTGTATTGCTTAGCAAAAGTTTCTTTCTTTCTTTTCTTTTTTTTTTTTTTTTTTTTTTTATGGCAAAACAAAAGCACTATCTGTCTGTAGAATATATACAAATGCTAAATGAGTCAAATTTGCTGAGTAAAATAGCAGCAGATATTATATTCCTGTGACTAATGCAATTTTGGACTTTGCACACCTGTTGCCTGTTGCGAACGGGTTCAAAAATTATAATGGACAGCAATTTGTAAGTAACCTTGAAAAGCTGTGTACAGACCTGAATGTAAAACACATGAAAATGACCATTCATACATCAATTGAATATAAATGGATCATAAACAGAAATGCTATGCAGATAATTTGTTATTTGAGAAAATAACACAACAGCTGAGACTTGAATAGCATCAGTATATTCTTTGCAATCTGCTAAACAAGAAACAGAAAAGTCACTAGCAGACTAGTCTCTGGGCAGAAAGATAATGAAATAACACTCTTTAATAAGTTACTTTTCATGCAGGAAAGGAAAACCCTGTTTTAAAAGATGTTCAAAAGTAAATTTATGCCCAAAGTCAGGGACCTGACTAAGTCCAGAGAGTGATAGTGAACAACAGTGTGTGTATTTAATTATGGCAAAGCACACTAGGGCTATCTGCCTAAGAGGAAGGATGCCTTCGTGGAGGACTTTCTAAGGAAAACTGGCTCGTATACATGTTACACATGGGGAAAACCACGAAAACGTCCATGCAGCCAGCCCGTTCGAGGGATTCGAACCTCGGACAGAACTACCAGTGTTCAGCGACTTTACAGCTCGGCCGGCTGGTGGGCCCTCGATAGTGAACATCAGAACGAGTGCAGTACTTTTTTAAAACAATACAGAACAGTCAAGTTCCACAAATGTTGATCACCTCAATTTTTACAATGGAAGGAATATGCCCATGTTGATAGAAATGGAAAGTCAGGCAGAGATATCCCCTAGTAGAAGGCAGGCAAAAGGTAGTAAACAAAGTTGTGGATTTTTTTTTTTTTTTTTTTAAATTGATCAGCCAGGAAGGAAAGAAAAGTATGCAGAAAAAGTCCATGAATAAATACCAAGGGCAAAGAGAATGCTAAATACTGAAAATAAGAATCAGAATTTTTGTACAAGTTATGCAAGAACAGTGGAAAAAAGGAAGTGCAATAGGAAAAGTGGCCTTGAATGGGCAGATGGGTAGACTCTCAAAAATATTGCAGACTAATAAAGAAAACAAGGAAGACTACAGCTGCTAAGAAGAAAAATTTTCCAGCCAGACAAAAGAGAAAAGCTGATTATGATTTTAAGTTACAGCAACCACACAGAGCAGAAAAACCACAACTGCTGAAAATAAACTCTACAGGTCAGCAGGAAGTTGAAAAAGAAAAAATGAAGAGAAGAAAGAAGGTCTACAACACTGCTGAGGGACACCACAGCACCAGACCTACATGGCCACAGTAGCATAGTTAAAGACCACTCAGTTGCTTTCTGTTTTATATTCTTTCCATTATGAACCTAAGTGCTCAGAACAATTTAATTCCTCCCTTCTTCAAACTACCATTCACATCAGCCTCTGTTCTCCATCACCTGATGAATCTTCTGGGACCTATCATCACCTCTCCCCTTTCCATTATAAATTTACTATGGTTCTTTGCAAATATGGACAAGATATCACCTGCATTGCAATAAAGAACCCGGATATAATCTCCTTCCAGCACAAATCGATATTTCTTGGCATTCTGCCAGCTATAGATCCCATCAACTTCGGTATAGACTGTTCAGTATATACTTGTTGGATAGTTTTCAAGAAAGCAGCAATTTTTTTTTTTTTTTTTTTAAATGGCACCTAGATGGCATAGATGCTATGCTTTTAGTTTTAAGCTTAGCATAATTTCTCATGCCGAACAAACTGGATCCCCAGATAAAGAGACTAAAGTAAGAGGATAAAAATTATGATCTGGCAGACCTGGACTTATTTAGATCAAGATTTGCTAAATCTGTTTAACTCAGATAGTGAAGAAACAAATTTTGATAGCTTTATATGTTGTGCAGTTCGCCATTTGTATTTTTGTTAGCAAAAGTAAAATTTAAAAATTTTCTCTGGTCATTTAATTTAATTTTGCTTTGTTGCCATATTTTTTATTTTGTAATAAGAGTATAATGTATATAGACTTCTTTAGTGGGTAAATATAAGTACATTCACAAAAGTTTTAGTAAATCTTCAACATTTCTCAATATTTTTTATTGTGGTTTTATATTTCTGCCCAATTTTAGTTCTTGCACCAATTTTGAGTGCAGCATTTATAGTTATGTGGCTTTTCTTTCAGAAATTACGGTAGATTAAATTTGATTTACCATAAAATCTATTCAAATTTGTAGTAGCTGAAAGAAACTTATGTTTAAGTTCCACAAGATAGTAAATTTATAGCATTATTTTAACATTCACATAAGTGAGGTAGAATAAATTTAAAGTTATAATTCTCTGTATATGTTTATAATCATAAATCCTTGTGATGAAAACGTACTCCTAAGGGCTGTCAGACTGGAGTTTATCTGAGCCAAAGAAGTCAGTTCCATGTGTTGACTAGCTCCACAAGTCCAGATTTTTCAACTCAATGTGTTCTGGAGAAAAACTGGTTTTGGAGATGGATCAGCTTACTCAGTTGTCTCTGCTAGCTCAGATAAACCCATAAGAATCCATGTGACACATTTAGTTCATTGTAATTGAGCTAGCTTAGTTGAAATCAAGACAGGAGTTACAGAACAGGTTAATGATGGAAACAATTTACATATATTCTATATTTTAATCTGATGAACTCACCTTTGGCAGAGTTTCCAAGAACATATCAACCATAGCAGCATCTTTATACTCTTTAAAAGCATCAGCTTTCTTAGCCATTTGTTCAGCTTCAGCCTTTGCTTTAGCTTCAATTGCAAATGCTTCAGCTTCTCCTCTCAGCTAAATAAATAAGCAGAATTTCAGTTTTAATATATATATATATATATATAGAGAGAGAGAGAGAGAGATAAAGCAGTTAAGATAGAAATAAACACTTTTAATTCATCAAAATTAAAGTTCATGACTAAAGAAACATGAAAGTAGTTTAACTAATATTTTATTTATTCAGCAACATATTTGAAGGATAAGTTCCCCGCAATATACTCAGGTTACTACATATTCTCTAATGTACACCAGTATAACAACACTGGCACATTTCATAAAAGCTATAAAATTCAATAATTTTATAATTACACTTAATTAGAAATTGTAGCATAACTGAACAAAAAAAATTAAAACAAACAGATATATACGTATATATATATATATTTATATGGTAAAATGTACATTCATTTAATTTTGCTATTAATTACAAATAAGAATTTTCTATGCAATCTAATACCTCATCTAAATGTTTTCATTTACATACTTTGATATTTTAAATTATCCTGCAATCAGAAGCAATGATTACAAATTGAAACTTAAGGCCTTAAGATCAGTAATAGGCAACAAGTAAGTTATTAGTCCATATACCACAAATAATGAAAATGCTGCACGATTTTTTATTGCCTTCTACAGTACAAAACATACTACCCCCTCTAGATGATTTACACGATCTTGCTAATTAACAGCAACAATTGCATACTAAATCTCTTCCTTGAAATTGCAACATATGATATCCCACAAGGAAATAAATTTTTATATATCCTCTATCTGGCACATGTATCAAGTTTCAATGAATTATGAATGTTGCAATATAATGCATATATATATATATATATATATGTACTCCAATAGCACGACATATTTTCAGAAGTAAAAACAGAAGTGACTGCCAATTTTTCAGGTGGGTGAGTTACTTTTGCTAGCTACAAAAAGACATCAAATGAAGTAAATGCTGAAGAGAACAAAAAACCAGACACAGGAATTCACAATGAATACAGTTATTAATTAAAGGCTAACTATAACTTCCATTTATAATTGGCCTTTAAAGAAACTGATTTTAATAGCTTCAACTGAGAAACAATATTATGCATTTTGCTTGATATCACTTGGTCGAAATTTGTAGAGGTCTCAGAGTTCTCAAATAATCATGTTTATGTTCACCTTATTTTCACATTAGCAAATGAAGAAAACTTTTCCATTTAACCTTTGAAATTATAATGCAAAAAACTTTATTTACTTCCTACCAATTTCGATTGCTAGTTTTATTTTCTCCCGCATTTATTATTTATACTTGAATTGGTCTAAGTGTTATTATGACTTAATTTTTTCATGTAGTATAATACATATCAGTTATAAGCATATACCATTTAATATTAATTATTATAAGCTTGAACAACAGTCCTACTACTGCAGTAACCATCTTTCTTGACTGGAGAGAGGAATTAGTCAACTTCTGATTTACCGAGGTACACATAAACTAAATAAAGCCCCACTTAAAAAAAAAAAAAAAAAAAAAAAAACCACTCAGGTGAGAAAATTATCACAAGAATTAGCAGACACACCAGTGAGAGAGAGCAGACGTTGATATGAAACTTAAGTTGACTTTTCTGGCTTATTCCCTCCTGCCTTTGCCCTTTCCAAAAACTAACTAATTGTAACTACCTAACTGCAGTTCAATTCCCTTCCTATGTCCTGTCCCCCTCCTTACAGCTGATAATAGATATGCTCTTAATTTGGCAATACAGTAATTGAAAAGTTATAGTTCGCAAATAATTTTTGTACTTTCGCTGAAACTAAAATTGCTATTTTTAGAACTCCCTTGGATACTTCAAGTGAAAGCTTAGATTTTACTTTTTCATTGACAAATGGTTATGAATTATTGTAATCAGTACTGACCACAAAATGTCAGAAAAAAAAAAACAGAAACATGTTGTTCTTTCCATTCATAAGAAACTTGAAACAATATGTCAAGTAGAGAGTGGATCTAGCATTACATGAAATCTGTGTTTGGCAGTTAGCTCAACCATTTTCCTTATATCCCAAAGTATTATATGGAACTGCCTCACTCCAACTTGACAGAGAAACCAATGCTTGATAGCAGCCAGGACCTCTTCACACTTGCTTCAGAAGGTTCTTAATTGCTGTAGAATTTTACTTCTCATCAGAAAAAAACTTTTCCTTGAGCTTTTCCATATTTCAATTCAAAACCAACTCATGCTTCAAGGTTAATATAGCATCAAGAAATATGTTTACTTGACTACTTCTCTGCTCTTTGTCTATATTTATGCACAGTCAGATTTTCTGCACTTGCACATTTAAAAAAAAAAAAAAAAAAAAATTAACACCATCTTCAATAAGTAAATTATAATACTCAAGCGTTGTTTGTAAAGCTTGACATTTTTAAATACACACATTCCTTATATGGGATGTTAATTATTCAAAGCATTTCTTACCTAAAGCACCATTACACATACTTTGTGAAACTAGACAGTTACAAATTTTTGTACATTATGGGCCACTAAGAGTAACAATCTTGAATATACAGGTTATTAAATGATAAATTTTACCCTTATAGCTTCTGCTTCAGCTTCAGCCTCCATGATCACACGATTTCTGAAAAAACACGCATAATGAGAATTTCAAAAATAAATAATCCAAATAACTACAGTTACATTACATACCACATTCAAAGTGAAAAACTACCAAATTTAACAAATGACTGAGACCAAATTTAAATATGCATACCTTAAAGTACATATATGCTATTTAAAAAATACACTATAATTAATGAAATGAATATATAATAAACATTAGAATTTTTATATTATCATAGCTGCCAATCTTAAAATAGGGAAAACCCAGACATCTAGGAAGTTTTTTAAACTACATGATGAGGCTATTTCAAAACAACTCTAAATAAGATTTAAATTCACTTCATAAAGCATAATTCAGGTTAATGAACTACATGATTCTGACTTAGAATACATTAATATTTTTTAAATATTTTACATTTTTTTTTTTTTTTTTTTTTTTTATAAATTTTGTCATTTTCTCATATGTTTATATTGAGGAAACCCTGAGAAGGGAAGAAATGCATTACTTAACAAAGTACTTTTAAATATAATAAAAATAAAACCTCGATACACCAAATAATGTACTACATGAAATCCAAACATCATAAAAAAATCTACAAATGTCTGCAGTAGACTAAGATACTCTTAAGTAAAATTTAATAATATTTAACTGAAAATCACTATGTGATAGAGGAATAAAATTTGCACAATTAAAGTTTCATTAATTCAATCAATTTTATTTATTGCTTGGAAACATTTTACCAGCAAAGGCTAAAAATTTAAAACTGGAGATTTAGTAATCTATTAGGAGATCAGTTGTTGTTAGAAATGGGTTTCTCAATGGAGGTAAAAGTATTCATAAGTCAGCATTATTTCTGCTTATACAGAAGCAGTCGTGAAGGTGGGCCAAGTTTGAAAAAAGTGACAGATCAATTCCCAGAGGAGTTTAAAAGGACAGCACCAAATAATACAGTTATGTTATCTACTGTAGCAAAATTTTGCCATTTTGGTATGTACTGTGTCAACAGAAGGGGAAGTCTGATAACCAGTGACAGTTTTGACAAATGAGAATCATGCACATGTTCTCCAGCAGATGCTGCATTCGCCCTGGCGAAGTTTACAATGAATGGCCTTGAAATTGAATGCCATTGGTGCATCTGTTCGCCGATTGTTTAAGGGCATAGATTGATTTTCATACCAGCATACCTGCCAACCTCTAAAGATAAAAATTCAGAAGATTTCTCCAAAATTCAGAAGAACATGAAGAATTAATATCATGCTTTGATATTAAAAAAATAACAACTTATACAAATAGAAAAAAGAAAATTGTACTTACATTAGTAAATCTCTATTAAGTAGTAACTAAAAAATTTATTAGGAAACATAAAACACAAACTTAATGTTACACAAAAAAATTATTGCAATGAATTTAGAGTGCATTTTTTGGCTTTAGCCAAAAATTCTTTGGAAAATTTCCTGTCATAAAAATTAGTTTCCTCATAACATTTAAGAATTAAAATGTTTTCCAGAGTTTTTGGTGAAATTGAAGAACGAAACATAGTTTTGTTTTTCTTCACAACACTGAAGACTCTCTCGCACTCAGCATTACTGTGTGGAATTACGAGAATAGCACATAAAACTCTTGCTAGTCTATCATATTTTGGTATTCCATCAGCTCTTTTTATTCTTTTTAAGGTACCAACGAGGACACCAAGTCTATCTTCTCCAGAACTGACAAAGTTTTCAAACTGTGCAGCAGAAAATAGGTTCTGTAGTTCATCTAAAGCATCATTATGGCATTCATTTTCTTTAATTGTTAACAAAAATGGAAATTTATCAATAAAAAAACGAATCTTTCCAAAAGATGAATTTTCAATTTGTTTCAAATTTGCCACTTCAGTGTTTAAAAGAACTTCATTTTGCAAAGGAAACTTCCTTACAATGTAATCACAAGCTGAGTAAAAGTACTTTCTAACACGTTGAAAAAATTCTTTGTTCTTATGATCTTTCAAAGAAATTACAAGTTCCCTGGTTTGATTTCCAATTCTAACCACCGTGACTTATTATGAAGTCACACACACACACGTTGCAAAATGCATAGTTATTTCCTTTGAAGGATTCTTTAATTGTTGGAAATTCGACTTTGTAGGCAGGCCGAAAATGTTGAGAATACGGTTTTTTTTTAACTAATTTCGTAACAACGACGTATTAGAAAAATTCGTACCACGTGAAAAAAAAAAAAAAAAAAAAAAAAAAAAAAAACAGAATGCAACAATCCACGCTCGCTGAGTAATTCCCTTGCTGCTGAAGCGAACGCGAAAAAAAATAATCTGGCACCCACAAAGAAAAGAGTGGGAGAAACAAGTTCTGCGCATTGGATTGGCTGGTTAAGCAGCGAGTTTGGAGAAACCGCAGGTTACTGGATTCGAAGTAATCAGTAGTTGGCGGTAAAACACAACGCAGTTGGCGAAAAATTCTAAAATTTTGACAAAAATCACTAAAAACAATTGAAAAAGGAAAAAAATCGTAAAAAATGGATTACAATCGTAAATACAAACGCATTTTCGTAAAAATTACGAAAAATTCGTAAAAGTTGGCAGGTATGTACCAGATATAAATTGGGCAACGCTTGACAGAGACTGACATGCGAACATTTTTGGCCATCGTGTACAAGGACCCAGATTTCTTCCGATGAAAGGCACATTCACTTGAACGGCTACATCAATCGTCAGTCAACTTGCTTCCTTGGTTTTGAGTGGCTATATGTTCTCGTTCAGAAACCATTACATAGTGCACGTGTAACGTTATGGTGTGCCATCTCAGTACACAGTTTATTAGGCCACTATTTTGTTGAAGATGAAGAAGACAATGCTCTTACCATCACCCAAGAATGCTACAGGGCTTTAGTGATCGAGCCATTTTTCTGGGATTTGAGAAGGTTCTGTCCTGCAAGGAACATTCAGATGAATACACATTGGTATCAACAGGACCGGGCGATCAGCCATACCGCTCGAGAATCTCTACCCACGCTGCTGGAAAACCTTCCAGGATGAATTATTTCACATGGTTGTGACTGACTTCTCACACTGTATCATTTCCCTGACCTTGCATCACCTAATGCCTACTTGCGGGAAGTGTTAAAGGTGAGTGTGTTCATTTGTGAAGATCCACCAAGAACTGTGCTTGCATTATGTGACCAAATCATTTCCTTTTGCAGAAGTCCGCAGTAACCTTTGTTCCAGGATATGTTTGAGAATCGGCATGAATGATATGAACACTGTCTACAACGAAGCAATGCACAATTTGAACACTTACATTACTCAACATGGTAAATCATACACTAATAGTGTGTGTATGTATATATATGTTAATATCTTTCAAGAGAAATAAATTCAGATGACAATAATCTAATTTTGTACAGAATGTACAATGTAATATCACACAGAGTATTTTGTGATGAGATAAGAATATGTTGTTGTATACGTATTTACTTATTTGACAATAAAAGAATTTTGTGCTGAGACACATCAACATGTCAAAGTTTCATTATCATTCGAAGGGTTCCCTAGAAGAATTGGTATCAATTAACAAGTCGCCTGAATAGAGTTGTTTGACGTTTTTGGCTCACTTGCACACTTTGGCATGAAGAAAAGTGAGAGATTGTTTTAAGTTTACCTGTTTTACTGCTTATGAAAAGAAAACAAGGAGATAGGTTATTTGCATTAATATTTACACTTGTTATCTTTTTACTTAAATATCACATTTTCGGTGATAATACAAGGTAAATTAATACTTGCCAAAATTAAAGAATAAAGAAATGCAGACCCAGTGACCCCACTCATCACAAATTCCAATGAGGAGATGCATATTCCCTATGCCAGGGCTAACCAGCTGTATATGGAATCTGAAGCCTCCCAGTTAACTTATTTCCAAGCCATTGCCTTTAAGGATGAAGGACCAATTGACTATCTTGGCAGGGACAGCTAGCTAGGTGCTTCCCATTTCAATTTGAAGCAGATACCAAAACAGTATATTAGGGACTGTACTTTAACCCTTAACTATCTAGACTACAATTTCCAGACTTAAAGGTCATAATGAATAGATGATTTTCTCCCTATGAGAAACTAAAAACAAAGGAATGTAACAGCATCTCACTTTGAGGCCCAACCTCCAAAAAGAGAAATCACAAGGGAAAGAAAAAAAAAAAAAAAAAAAAAAGGAAAAGCAACAAATTAAGCGATGAAATAGAAAGAAGGAAAAATCACTAGAGCTCCAAGATTGTGATCCTGGTCTCATCAACAGGGTGATTTCCTGAAGGGCTAGGATTCCTCCATAGGGTGGTATACAGTTAAACAGCTAAAAAGGAAAAGGTTCACTATAACCCTCACTGGTAATTTGCATTTTTCAGGAGGGGAGGCAAAACAAAATCAATCACTAGAGGACGAATCCATTTCAAGATTCAGAAAAGCTTGTTCTCCACATTTAGGCATTGTAAAAATATGGAAACTTTTTAATTTAAAAAAACTAACACAAAAAAGTTGGGGGGGAGGGGGTAATATGCAAAGTATATGGTAATTTGTTTGAATAGTTTAAAAGTTAATAGCTTAAAGAAAAAATAATTCAGAAAATTACAGAACTACATACAAGGGAACTATTAAATCTAAGTTTTAGAAACTTGAGAAATATTTGATATTTTCAGTTCTTAACAAGATTACTTATTTTTAGGGGTGAAGCCACCTTTCTTTAGATATGTAAGTAACAAAATTAAATATTAGCAATTCTGTGTATAAAATAATGTTTACAAATATAAATATAAAACCTTTTATACATGCAAAATTTATAAGTAGATTACTACAGCAATTAAGATTTTTTCAAATAAAATATTATAATCATACTGCATACCAAAAATTCTCAGGATAAAAGATAAAATGCATTTGTGCATGTATATTAACAAATGAGCTGTTTAAAGTTCAAACTTAAAAAAATATTACCTCTTTAAAAGCATAATAAAAAACAAATTTCAGTAATCAAAAATATAAATCACTGTCTCAAAAAAGAAAGAAAGGAAGCAGGGGTAAAGAGAACCTATTTGCTTCAGCCAGCTTTTCTAATTTATATTTCTCAGCTTCAGCTGGTCGTCTCACAGTTGCTTCAAGTTCTCTCTCTTTACGCAATATTTCTTGTTCCTGAACTTGAATATCTTGTGTTCTTTCAATCACCTGCACTTGCATTTGCTCTTCTTTTATACGCTGTCGGGTTTTAGCTGCTTGCAGGCTGTATGCAAGGTCCGATTCTGCTTTCTGGGAGAAAAAAAAAATACACATATAATCCTGACTAACAGAAATGTTTCAGTTTCAATAAATACACAAATTTTATATTACTTTTGTATTGACTTCCATATCATATGCGGCCTTTTTTAACTCAAAGTCTCTTTGGGCTTTAGCTATTTCTGTATCATTGAGATACCTGGCAGCCATTTTTTCTTCTTCTGCAATAGCTTCCTAAAATGCATAATACAGCAATGTTATAATAAATAAGACAAATATTATACAGTGTTAATACAGAACAACTAAATTTAAGTCAAAGTTACCAAACCTTAATTTGGGAGTCTCGCCGAGCTTCAGCTTCCCCTATTCGAGCGTCTCGCTTAACTTCAGCAGTTCTTGCCATGCCCAAAGCTTTTAGATAACCCTGGAAGTATTTCATTTAGTTAAGATAATATGAAAGGTGATGCAAAATTGAAACTGCTCACAAATAAATTTGCTTTTTTGTGAGGAAAAAGACAAGTACACAAATTTTTTAAAATAAAGTCTAAAAACTAAACTCTCTAGCTCTATATAATTATTTAAGTACAATAGTAGATTTCAAATGTAATCAATACTACAGATGCTGAAAATTTCCTGTTAGAAAGTTGCTCTGATTTTTAGTAATAGCTCTCATTTCATTACATTTTCTTGTCATTATTATTACTAAAACAAATATTAAAATAAAGGAAACTCAAAACGTAACACAGAAATAAAAACAACATATCACTACCACACTTCATTTAAAACAATCTCAAAAGCAGTATTCAAAATTAAGCAACCATCTCCAGTCATGTTTCATAGCACAACAAAAGTTCTTTCATTAACAGATGTGGTTCAAATTCCAATGGGATTTATATAAAGAGCACCTATAATTTCAGCCTACTTTTTTTTTTCTTTTTAATTTTAGATATATTCGCCATATTACACCCACCCTTTCCTTTATGAAGAAACCTGAAACATACATGCGTGATGTTCTTATCTTCTGAAATCATACATTCTGAGATTTTTCCTAGGCTTTCTAACAATGGTATACTGAACTGACAAGCGATAAGGAGAACAATATGTGTGGTGGAGAAATGCTTGAGAGAGTAAATTATTCTGGATGAGTTGTATTCATTGCAGATGTTCACAAGAATGTTATTCTAGGGTTTTGAGATGCAGTAAATATAGCTGTTCTAGTAGTAATAGCCCTGGTTTCAAATGCATAGTCATTCAGTTTGCAAAAGAAAATGGAAATTGTGCTGCAGCAAGGATATCTGATGTTAGTGAAGGCTCCATACAGAAGTGGAAAAAAATGAAATCGTAGCAATATACTAAAATAAATGTGCTTTATGTAAAAGAATAACAAAAACGACTTATCCTAAAAGAAAGTATTGCAAACTGGGTTTAACGAAATCTGCAATAATTACTAAATGTTGATTTTTTAAGTCAACCAATTTCCAATGAATGACAATTATTTGATTTATTCATTAATTTTTTTATTATCAAGAGTTTCCATTTCAACTTTTTCATTTCCAATAGTTTCCATTCAATTTTTTCATGATGCACATTGAGGTTCTTTAAAAATCTTTTTCCTAAATTCAATTTTTAATGCTTCAAGTTACTTCATTCTACTACAATTCTACTAATCTTGCCTCAGGAGATAATATACTCAATAATCCATTTGTAAACAAATTATTTTATTACTTTGCAGCTATTGTGCAAATATAAAGAAATCTATTGCAATTTATTAATATATTTAATTCCATCTTTGATATATATATATATACAAATAGTATATAGAAATATGTATATAGTCCAAAATGAATTTTTTTTTTTAATTTTAAAAATTAAAAAGTAAATGTCAGAATTAAATTGAAAATTTTTATTCCTTCTATATGAAGGTTTATCCATTTCTTCTCCAGGTAAGGAATTAAAAATGAGTACTTGTAAAATTAACAAAAATAAAACAGTATTTGTAAATCTTCAAATATGTTATCTTAAAATAAAAATGATCAAAGAGAAACTTCAAAAAAAATTTTATAAAACATCATACAAAAAAATATAACATTTTATTGTCTTCTCTTTTTTTAAAACTTCAAACAGAACCTGTCAAGGGAAAAGTATTTTGAAGCCTTACACCAAGTTGATTAATGAGTCCTGAATACATGCTTCGTTCCTCTGAATCCTTCGAGACTCAAAACCGCTTTTTAGTATCAAATTTTCACTTTAAAATAACATTTTAGTAGCTTTCAAATGTTCAACACATACAAAACATCAATCTCTCCTAAAAATATTAGATTACTAATAAAAGTAATTTATACAAAACTAAGGAAAATTTATATCATACTATTAAGGAAAATTTATATCATACTAACCTCTTCATCACTAATATCTTTGATAGTATATGAAACCACAGTTATACCCATATTTACTAAATCAGATGAAGCCACTTCAAATACTTGCTTTGAAAACTTCTTTCTATCTTTATATATCTCCTAAAAAATATTAATACTTGTTAGAGATGAAGAGCACATGAAATTAAATTAGTATACCCCATTTAAAAAAAAAATGTTACTTTTATTAATTTTGTTTTAAAATAGTTTTCTTTGATTATATTATGTAATTTTTTTCCAGGGCAGGGATACTTTAATTGAGCTCCAATTCCAATAGCTCAGTTTTAAAAAAAGTACAAATATTTGCATTTTCATGCTTCACTTTCACAATTATTAGCAATTTTTTTAAACTGTCCCTTCTATTACATCTTTTAAATATAAAATAGCATGTCGAGATCTTTCAGTCTAAAGAAAGGTATGAACCATAGTAAATTGGGTTTTACTTAAAGATTTTAATTAAAAGAGGCTTCAAGAAAGCAATCTTAAGACTTAAATACAGTATCAGGTCCTTTTAAACATCAACATTTTTACCTTAACCTTTTGAGGGAGTTTATCAATTTTGTAAACCTCATAAAAGTGCTAATTTTTTGTGTTCCCACCAAAAGCTGTGACCTTGAGTTTATATTCTTTTGACTCTAAATGATCCTATGATTACTCAATATTTAAGTTATGAAATTAATGTACCTCATTTAAAGGTCTTATATTTGAAGATTCATTGGGGGAGAACTTACAATCTGCAAATATATAATGTACACATACTGAACTTTATATTTACTACATTTTGAGCAAAACTGATAATTAAAGTGTATTATTAATACAATTTTAAAACTGGTATACGAATCATACCAACACCAATACTGAGGATACCTTGCCAACAAATGGCAGTATCAAGCTTTTTCTCTGCTCTGTAGGGTGAAAGTATTTATAATATAAAATTTTACAAGGCAACATGATACAGTTGCTTATGATTATTTCACAAGTTGTTTATGATTAAATATTACGTTCATGGGGCAATAATGCTTTGTAAAATTATTTCAGTTTCTTCTTATCCTTTGCTTAATCCAGTCAAGTTTTTCATTTGTCTCCATTTAGCTAAAATTTTAACCACATCACCCTTATCACCTAGACAAACTCATCAATTTCAAAACTGTCATCTGATGTCAAAATGTCACACACTCATAAGGGACTTTAGCTCCAAGGGACACCTCAGAATGCAGTGAAAATGAAAAGGTGATTGATGGCTAATTTGATCAAGCTTTCTTCACAGGTGGATTGCAAGACGATCACTTACAAAAAATGCACTTCAAGTACCTTTTGCCCTGATTTCGGAATGGAACTACTGTTGACTTGAATGCATGCTTTTAGGAGATTGTTAATTTTCAGATGAGAGTCTATGGAATAGGAAAGAAATTTTTCTTCTGGCTAAGGATACAAGCAGTTATCGAAATACTTCTTCACATTTGGTGAAAAGAGGGAGAAATATTGCTAAGGAGAGTTTCAGATGCAAACATTTACCTTTGAAAGGAAAAAAAAAAGGAAATATTTCAGTTTCGTAAGAAAATACCAAAAGAAGATTTTCTGTGAAAAAATCACTGTTAGTGAAAAACTTCCTCTGATGGATCCAATCTTGCAGTACCTGATACTTCTGATAAAGAATATTCACCAAAAAATTAAGGAGAGTACATCTGACATGAGTCAGACTCGGAAACACAATGGATATAAAATTATTTAATGGCTTTTCTTCCTGAATGAAATAATATATTACAACCCATATTTATAATAAAAAGGTGCCCTTATCTAGTATATGAAAGGAGTTCTTGATATCATAGCAAGAAGCATGTTCTTTTTAGATATTACCTAAAACTAAGCCTAGTTCAGTTACATGATACATTTTATGCATGCAGTGTTATATTTGTTAAATTTTTTTGATAAAATAATACTGAATTTAAATCCCTTCCACAAGTTCTTTTTTTTTTTTTTTAAATATGTTAAGTATATTCATCTGGGTGGTATAATCCAAGTGCTAAAAATGCAAATTTTAGGCACTTTGAAATGTAAATTTCATTTCTAAAATTTTAATTTTCTACAGAAATTGTAGAACTTCTTGACTCCAAAATTAAATAACTACATTCAAGCACCCATTTCTACAGATACACATCAAAAGTATTCAAAATAGATTAAAAACCAAAAGTTAATGGTTGGCAGCTATATGGAAAAAAATAGTCTCACAGTGACAGTGGTATAAAATACCTACCAGCCCTCAAAACTCCGAATTCCCTTTAGACTTTATTTAAGTCTCAGTTTGGTGTTCTAAATGTTTGTGTTTCAATTAATGCAAAATTTTACCACGATTTAAATTCTTTTATGTACTGCCCTGATAAGGTTAAACTACCTTCAGCAGTATCAAAACTACATTTTTACTGGATCGCTGATACAGAATATCACAAATTGTAAAGAATTATAAGGTGAACATGTTACAACCAAAATAGTTTTCAGTTCAACTTTAACACAATGGCTGGTTAACATTTCGTAGTTACATGACCAAAGCTTGGGATAAAAATTATTCATAACCTATAAAAGAAGTCAAAACCAAAGATTCAGTATTTTAGGTGTCTGCTATTAGTAATATTTTCACAGTAAACAATGTTTGTAGTGAAGAAATCCTAAGCTGTAAGATATGGATTTTGTGGAAGCCATGGGATTGGGTCATCCTATAAAATCTACGAGTTGAATTTCTGAATTGGATAGGGAGCAGAACTAGTGAACGGAGATAAAACTCATTTTCTATACACAACTTCAGCACACGAAATATTTCCCCAAGTTTAAAATTTCATTATGTAATAAGGTTGTGAAATTGTGGCATTCTTTTTTTGATGACCTTGTATATATTTGACTTTGAAAAAACAATTAGAAAACTGGTGTAAGAAAATTGAGAAAACTGGCTTTCAAAACTTATTGATTCAATGTTATTTATTTATTTTCCTTTTCACTAGCCAAATTTCAGTTTAGCAAGGTTTTATAACATACTTTCACAATGGCAAGGTTTTTCCATACTGCATTTTTAGCAATAACAATGAGCAACATAAGCTTCAAATAACCAATGAAAACAGTTAAATCACCCCCCGGCCTACAATAATAATTCATTCTGTTCAAAATTTTAATGTCATGTTATCCCCACATTTAGCTAAATCTCTTCCCTTCAGAATGCCATATATTTTCATAAATATCTTATTTCTCATAACTATATCTAGATACATCTATAAGGCAGTGACCTAAGTGTCATGGGAAAAACATACCAAATACAATACACACACACACACACAAAAAGGGACCTTTTTTTAATAACGGAATCTTAACAGAAATTTACAAAAATTTATTTCCAAAAATATAAATTGCTACTTGAAATGTAGCAATTTTTCAAGCAGCCAAAAATCGGTAATAGCAGTTGTACATTATCTCAGCCTTTAATTGCTGCTATATGAACTAGACTGACTTTTTTCCACGATGTTATGAAACCCTTTTATGCCTGTTTTTGCAAATCCAATGGAGAGTAAAATGCCCCTCCTTTGGAAGAATATAACAGCATAATTTCTACTTAATTGTAAATTGAAAATTGTCATAATGAAAAGATCCGATGTGGACACCACTCGAATTTCTTGTATGGCTGATTAAATTACACACATTTTTTGCTACACTAAACTCTTTCCTCAATTTTCATTAGCGATATACTTTCTAATTCAATCACTTCTGTTCTCACTTCATGACAAGGCAAAAATAGATAAACTCAATCTTTATTAAAAATTATTAAATAAAGAAAAACCTTAAATACCAAACACAGTTAAAAAGTATTTTTTTTCAATTAAAATTAGAATTTCTATGAAAAACAAGCAATTCAACCAACTAGCAAGATGAAAACATTTTTGATGCACAAAATTGAAAGTTAACTTTTGGTCAAACTGGGCAAAAAGACACTGAAGCTGGGATATCAATTGAATTATTCTAATAAGAGTTTCAAATGTAAACAAATGACAGCCTCATTAGCCTCATCACTTAAAACTTGAAATTTATTTATAATTCTAAAACTACTGCATGCAGATTAACTAAAGGCATAAAAACCTTAAATGGAATATAAGAACAACATTTCAATTTTCTTTAAAGCAAAAATTGCACAATTACCAATATATAAGAATAGAAAACAGAGCTCATTGACCTGGAAAACAAAGTGGATTTATATATATGTTTCGTGCAGCCAACTGGAATCAAAAAAGGAGATGACCAACTAGATGTTATAATCCTATATAAAAATTTCAACATTTTAAAACTAAATGCATGTCATGAAAAAAATTCTCTTAAAAAAAAAAAAAAAAAAAAAAAAAAAAAAGGAGTTCTTTATTCTTTCTTTATGTACAGATGTCATGCAAAAACATTGTTCAAATGGATCCGAGAATGGCCAAAATAGGCATTTTCTTCGTTCAAAAATTTAACGGAAACATGTTGAAAAATATCTGAAATTTTTTGCAATTACAATATTTCCTTTACTTTGTACCATGAGGTAAATATGATCAATCAATGGTGGAAAAGGAAAAATTTCACGCTTAATTTGAGGTTTGATTTTTAACGTGCAATGATGAACACATGACTTGGGTGAAATGAAAAAAGATCGTATATAAATTATTATAAGAGAATGGAATATGGTAAGGTTTTACTTTGTTATAGTTTGGATTTGCTACATCATTTGAAGATTAATTGTTGATCACCAATCAAACCAAAAAGTAATCCTTTTCTTATATTCAAGAATTTTAAAAAGCATAAGAAAGAGAAGTTATTTTACCTCAACAGACATAGTGCCCATAATTGCTCGCTGATGCCCTTCCAAAGTTTCTCTCGCAATATGCATGACTTCTGATTCTTTCTTCCCAAGAAACTGCTCACATGCAGCTCGTAACATTTCAGCATTTTGTCCCTGTATTTTAACCTAATATGAATTAATAAAAAATAAGCATTAATATCTTGTGACAAATATCTAGCATTACATTCAAAGCAAATTTTCATTAAATAAATTAATAACCATCATCCTTAAAAATAAAGCATTTCAAACATATTGAACAATCTGAAGGATCTCTACATTTACTTAACAGGATGCACAGCAAAGCAGTAATCTTGCTTCAGAAAACATAAACCTTACACAATCCCAAATCATCAGTATAACCTTTTGGCCTAGCTAATAAATAGTACATGAGTACTGCAACTGAGCAAGACCACAATAAAGACATTTTATGCTCATTATCCATATTATATTTTATCCATTCTAAAGTTCAGGACGTAGTTCCATATTTAAACTTTTATTTCACATTAGAATTTTTAATCCTTTAAGTTTCCCATTCCACAAACTTACATGTTAAAAATGTTTTGTTTATTCATACAGTTATCAAGTTATGTAAATATTATCAACTCAATTACAACTGGTATTATCTGCGAGCAAATAAACATCACAATTATTTATTCTCAAAATGCTCTTTTCTTCCAGTTTAGTTATCTACTGTACTTTATATAAGAAACAGTACAAATATAAAAATTAAGCTGCAATCCTTCAGAGAGTTTATAAAAAGAAGTCGCATTTAATGAAATATCATGATTTTAATTTGTCTAGCAATAAACATACCCAGTTATAGCATATTATATATTTATCAACATTAGCTAACATTCTTTATTCAGATCTGAATGATATAAGTGTAGAATAATATTATGAAGATAAAGCACAAATGAAAGAGAAATCTTATGTAAAACAGCTTGTAACTGTCAAGAGACAAGATATCTTGCTATTGTAAGATAAATGTCAAATATCTCATAATAAACCAGACAAAAAAAAAAAATCTGTTAACAAAGAGAGAGTCATATTATTATCTCTTAACACAGACTATCACTTTTTTGGTACCTATACTAGTTTTAGTTTCGAAAAACATTACTGAATGTTTCAATGTTAACAAAGATATAAGCTGACAAATGTACTGATACCAATGCCATGTATTTTTATTAATTTTGATAATACTCTTTACAGACTCTACTGAAATCAACAATTTGATTGAAAAATAAAGAGATTTCTCTTAAATTTTTAATTACATGCTTTTAGAGATCATTATACTGTTTATTTTTAAAATAAAAAGTAAAACATTTTCTTCTCAAAATTTGCAATTACGGTCTAAATTCTAAAAATGCAACAATCATTTGAGTTTTATAATTATTACAGAAATTTCAATTATTGTCTGCTTTGTAGATTGAATTCTTGTAAAATAAATAAGTTCTTAGTTATTTTGCTTGTAGCAGCACTGTGTTCCTTTCAATTTCTAAGATTTGGTCTTCACTCGAGGCACAAAAGAATGGCTCTCACTATTTTGAACACGCAGAAAGCTGCTTAAAAAAAGGTTACTCGTACAGAAAAATTTACAAAAGTTACAAAGATTCACATTAGCTGTCTCGGATACTGCTGAAGAATGTGTCAGTTATAAAACTGCAGAATAAAACGTAAATTGTTTAAATGAATTAAAAATATGTCATGAGACAAACGAGGTAAGTCTTAAATCTCATTTACTCAGTATTCAAACCGAAGTTCAAAAAATGAACTGAACACTAATGATTCTTGGCTGCAAATTTAAAAGCTTCCAATATGTCTTCTCTACCAGAATTTTCCTGTTTGTATAAGGAGTGGAGTAACTTCAGAACTACATTTAATAATCTAATATTTAAAAATCCTCAAAAATGTTTTTATTTAAATAATGCACTTCAAGGCAATCAAAATTACTTCAAACCTTGGATAACATGTAGGAGTCATTATTTAAAGCATTAGAAGATCATTACAAAAACAGAAGAATAATGGCAGATACACATGTTCATAACATAAACTATCCCAAACTTTCTCAAGAGTCGCCCAAAGAACTTTGAGAAATGTTAAATCATGTAAAAAAGAATATACAGATATTCAAATTACTATATTTTGATAAACTTCTGGATATACTGTTAATGAATGTTATTTAGAAACTTGATCGAGGGTCTAGAAAACAATTTAAATGCCTCATGTCCAATAAAGCTGCAAAAATTGAGGAAATTTTACGGTTTATTGAAAAATGAAATCAGATGTTAGGATTAATTAGGAAGCTTATTGCAAAAAAAGCCATTTAAGCGTGTAAACAAGTTTGCAGCCTCAGGAAATTCATCCACGATTCATCTCATCAGTCAAAAAGTCTCATAGTTTAGTTCAAATAACCTTTCAAAATCATCTTATGTTATGCACAAAAAGAGCACTCCATACACAAATGGCTCATAATTTCAAGGATATGAATGAGAGATTTTATATCATCTGATTACTTATTCCCATTCCATTAAGCATTTGAATGTTAAATCAAAATCCCTTGCTTACTTTGAAAACTTTCATTTTCAAGACTTATTTCAACATATACATCCTCTAGTTGTTATACTTGACTCAGCCTCTTACTGTAATTTTATAAGCTGTGAATGTGCTAATTTATTGGGATTAAAAAAGCAAAAGATTTTTGCTTCTATTTAAAGAATTCATGGTTCTGTTCTAAACATTAAATAAGAAATAATAGGTGAATTGTCAGATTGAAAGAGAAATTATAAATAGAATTAAGATCTTTTGGTTATAACCAAAAATAACTGATATTAGTCCATCTAAATTAACAAAATTCCCAACATTGTTTTTAAACACCTTAGCAACATTACATTAAGTATATGATAAAGAATAATTAATTCTAGACTTCGTGGCACAGAAATACTGATTTTTCCTGTATGAAGTCAGTTCGGGCATTCCCAGTTTGGCATGATTGGGTATCTGAAAGGGATCCAGGTGATACTTAATAAATAAAATACAATAAATAATATATATTGGTTATAAAACAAATATATATTGGTGATTAATAAAACAAATATATACTGAGCTTTCTTTTTCCTTTCGGTAAATTTTCATTCATTAAGTCCATAAATGCTCCATTATTTCAAACAACTATTTCACATTCTTAATTTTATAGTATCTACACATCATTTCACTAGATTTAAACAGGTTTGCCACTCAAACAGGCGAATAAAATTGCCTGACTTTTCCAGGTGTGTTTTTAAGAAAATTCCAGTCTACTTGCACAGTGCATGTTGGCAGTGCTGAGAGGTAAATTACTTATGGTACCACTTGAAACAAAAACTTGCTAACTACATATGATTATATATATAATCCCCAAAGCATTAATATTATAACTATAATAGGAGTTGTTTTCTCCACTGAAGATTGAGATTAGAACCTGCGCAATCTGAATTTTAAAAATGTCTTTTTTTGCAGACATTTTGCAGCTAAACGAAAGAAATCCATTTAATGATATTTTATATTTATTCAGCAGCATACATAAGCAAAAAATTATGTGCATTAAATTTCGTGATACCATGTCATCACACTGCTAGAATTAGTTTCAGTATTATGCCAGAGAAAACTGCCTGAAATTTGAAAGTATTATTAACTAACTAATGATAAATTTAGAGGAAAGAAGCAATTATGTTATTAATATGTTATTAATAACATTAAAATAAAGTTAATTACTTAAAAATTGAATTGCAATAATCAACAATTTTTGGTGAATATAGTTACATTAAATGGTTAGCTTAAATGGATGATTACTACTTTTTGGTGTTACTGCAAAATGACAAATAAGGCATTCATTAAAAAGGAAAAAAAAAAGGTTAAATGATTTTGCAATTAAATCCTAGTATACACTATGGCCTTGGCAAAATTTTGAAAACTGTCACCAACACCAAAATGACCCGTTTGCTCATCATAATGACGCCAAATCCAGTGTATACCATTACTAGGATTAAACAGATTTTATTTTATAGAATGGGAAGGTATTTTCTTTCATTCAACATGCACTGCACATATGCAAGTCTCTTGAGTCTTGAGGTTACTGGAAACTTGCTTTCTAAAAGACTGATTGGAGCTGCGAAAATTGGCTCTACGCCAGCTGCTTGAATGAGGCTCACGCAAAACATATCTGCCAAGAAAGTGATCGCATTCACCATTGGCACAAAACTTTTTTGGGGGGAATCGCTGTACAAAATTCCTCCCCCCCGACTTTTCCAGATTTTGACCAAAATATTTAAATTCTTTTACGTTTTTGGCCAATTTTTGAATTCCCTGATTTATTCAATTTTTTCAGATACTGTGGCAACCTTCTTTAAACTAATAATATAAAATAAGGAAGTTTCCGAAAACCAGATTCGTCCAAGGTCTGATGATTCTGGATCTTGGACTAAGTATTGTATTAATTATGGATATTCTCAATAAGAAATGCTATGTCAGGGAAGTTATTGATGCTGAAAATCATTCTTATGAGCACACTTGACACTATATTCCAAGGACAACAATTGACCATATACTGCCTAAAACATTCAAGTCTTAATAATAAAGCAGATGTTTCTCCATAGCCTACCTATTAACCAGAAGTGTCAATCATTGACTGTGGATACTCAAAGACTAGGCTGACACTCTGCTCTACAATCAGCACCATGAGCTGTGAATGCCAAGTGAAGCAGCCTGGGAGGCAAAATCCGAAGAATGCATCCAAAGCCCCTTTAATAATATGGCATGTCATATATCAGCTTTTATTACCAGCAACTATACAAAATTAATTTTATGCGAGTAATGCATGAAATGAGTCAGAAATAAAACTATGTTTGAGATAATGGCTACGTTACAGCAGTGTTTCTCAATTGGATTTACTCAAAGGATCGGTATGTTCTCGCGGACCGGTAAGTTTAATAATTTGACGCATTGGCACAATTTTTTCACATAAATCATGAAGACAAAAATAATTGACAAATATTTCATGCGGACAGGCAGTCGAGAAATACCGTGTTACAGTATGTTTTCAAGGAACATCCAAAATTTTATATTGATAGTAATTTAAAAACCTCATTTTCTCATTTCAAATAAGCATCATGTACCTAAGCTTACATCATTAGCCAAGATATATTAACCACCAAGATGAACTATGAACAAACACATGGAGACACTGACAGTGGGAAGTCAAGAAAATGACTGCTTGCAATAGAAAATATCTAGAAAAAAAAAAAAAAAAAAAAAGTTTCCAGCTAGATCTGAAGTAGCAAGGATACAGACACAATAATGCTTGTGATATGTAATTGTGGATGATAATGAACTAACTAACTGGGGGGGGATAAAGTGAATCTGATTGGTATTGTTAAGCATTAATCATTAGTTTGAAGAATTGATATTTTAGTTAACCTAATTTTTTTAGCCACAATATTCATCATACAATATAATTAACCATACAGCCATACCTGATACTCTCTGTGGATGCACTGATCCAGAACTTTATTTGTAATATCAATAATAAATAGTATAACCTACTTTCTAATTTGATGATTCCTTCATAGTTTGACAATTTTCAAGGGCACACATATACAGTCTTTTGCAAAAAAATCAAAGCACCCTGAAGGAAGTGGTTGTTTTTGATGAAACTGAATATGTGTATAGCTCATATACAGATAATAAAATGATTAAAAAATCAAGGTCATAGTACCTGTTCACAGCTCACAATCATCCACTGAGTGTTCAAATTAGTAGTTGGTCAAACTGCCCCTGGCGGCAAAGCATGCTTGAATTTGTCGCAGCAAGGAGTGGTAGAAGTTTCTACTGCCATCCTGCGACACATTCATCAGCTGTCGATCCAGATCTGCAATATTTTGTGGTGCCTGAATCTGGAGGCCCACCATGTCCCAGACATGCTCGATTGGTGACCTGTGAGTATCAACTGCATGAAAGATGGTCCAGAGATATGTGAGCGGTATGTGGCCTGGCATTACCTTGTTGGAAAATGGCCCCAGGATGGTATCAACATAATATTGAGCTGTTAAAAGACGTACGGAAGATGACTAAAGATGACCTGCTGTCATAAGAAATAGCAATCCACACCATCACATCAGGGGTTAAGGCCGATTGGAACAGCTAGCCCCATCCTCTCCAGACACTAACACGGTGGTCATCTGCTTCAAGACTGAAGCGGAATTCATCGCTGAAGACTATACCATGCCAGTTTGATGGCAGCCATGATGATCAGCTGCGACACCACTCCAGATAACTTCGCTGATATTGTGAAGGCAAAGGCAGATGTCTTAAAGGCCTCTGTGAGCATAAGCCTGCCTCAGACAAGCAGTGCGAGATGGTGGACACTATACCTCCCGTTGTAGACATGACTGTAGTGCATTGAATAGTCGACAATAACACCGTTGGCATCATCCTATCTTGCCTCGCATTTGTGATCCTTGGCCTTCCAGAGCCTTCATTTCATCGGCAATTTCCTTGTAGCAACCATTGCTGCCAACATCTTTGCACAGCAGTGTCTGTACACTGCAGCTGGCAGCCTATTGCTTGGTATGACCACCAACTTCATGCAACCCTACAATGCGACCACATTCGAAGTCGTTTAGTTGTCTGTAAGGTCTTCGATATCGTCATAATGGCATCTTTAGTTGCTTCTTGACAGAATTACAATGGCAGCAACAAAAAAAGATTAATTTTCCGCCTCTGTTACTGGTTTTATACTTTGGGTATGCTCTCAATTCCTGTTCATTTGCCTTGAAACTTCGATCATTTGCATGTTCAAACAAGATGTTTTTGCATACCAAATTTCATTATGGTGCAATTTTTTTTTTTTTTTTTTTTTTTTTGCAAAAGAGTGTATATGTATACATAATAAACCCATGTGTTAAACATTTCAATGTGTCTTATAACATCAATGAAAAAATCTGATGTGGACACCATACGACTTCCCTGTACAAAAAATTATACACTTTTTTTGCATTTCATCTAAAGATATTTCCTCAAATTTCATTACAGATACATTTCTCATTCAATTAATTCAGTTCTCAATTTGCAGCAAGACAGAAATACATAAAAACTAAAAACATCTTCACTAAAAATTGTAAAATATAGAGAAACATAAAACACCAAATACACTTCAAAACAAAAGAATTTTCTAAAGAATTTTTTTATCTTTCTTTTTTACAACCAAATACACTTCAAAACAAAAGAATTTTCTAAAGAATTTTTTTATCTTTCTTTTTTACAATTAAAATTAAGAGTTTCTATACAAAAACAAGCAATTTGGCCAACAGGCAATAAGACAGATTTTTTTGGTACACAAAACTGAGTTTACTTGTAATCCCACTAGGCAAAAAAACACTGGAGTTGGTGCAGAAACAGACTTAATTCATTTGCTAGTAAAGAGTTTTAAATGTAAACAAATGGCGGCTTCATTAGGCTTAGCAGTACTTAACTTTTGGTACTCTTCTGTTATTGTAACCAAATTCAGAAATATACAGATGGATGTATATGTTCATTGTATGCGTGTATATATGTATGTACCTTTGTATTTACATACTCATATACATATCTGCATACATACATTTCTGAATCCAGTCCCGATAACAGAAGAGTACCTAACTGTTGATAATTCTACAACTATCACATGCAGATTAACAAAAGGAATAAAAATCTTAACTGGAACATAAGAACAACATAATTCAAGCAAAAAATGCATAAGAATAAAAAAACTCAGCTCATTGAGACGAGTAACAGACTGAGTACATATATACATCTATATACTTCTGGTGCAGCCAGAAAAGGAGGTGCACAACTGCATGTTATAGTAGTAATGTATACAAAATTTCAACATTCCGAGGCTACTTGTTAGAGTTATGCTCTTTACATACACATATATAAGTACGTATAAACACCACAAAAAAAAACTCTTCCGAATTCATTTTAAAACAATTTTACAACCTGCTTTGTGAAAGAGAGTCCTTTATTCAATTTGAAAGTACAGATGTCATGCAAAAACATTGTGGAAATGGATTCAAGAGCAATCAAAATTGAAATAGGAGACACAAAATTTTTTGCAATTACGACACTTCCTTTACTTTGTAGCAGGAAGTAAAAAGCTCACACGCAGGACATTTCAACTTATTACCTTAATTCATTAAAGCTGTTTTTTAAAAATGTCTTAATACAATACCTTTCAATAATATATTCTTTTCAATATGAAAATTAAAATATAAAATTAATTTAACTACATTATCTGAAAAGTGTGATATGTGGCCAAGTGGAACACAAGACTAAGGTTGCCTTATGTACCAAACGTGCTTGCCAAATAGCATAATTTACACTTTATGATCTATGGCTACTTTCTCTGCTGGTCAAGTTTTACACTTTTCATAAATAACTTTATAACAAAATTACCAGTTTCTTGCCCAATGAGATGAGACTTTAATTTTTCTTCAGGTCTCAGTGACTTCAAATGTTTTTTAAATATATTAAGGCTGAACATAAAGACTTATTTTCTGAAATAAGTGTTAAGAGAAAAATGTGAGACAGAGCCAATATAATGGTTCAATATAACGAGTCCAAAATAATGTATAATTTTATTTTTCATGAAAAAATGCTTACCTGAGCAATGCCAGTTACAGAAATGGGCACACCTTGTTGAGTGTAGACTTTGGGACTCTCTATTGTCAATGTCATTGTATTTAGTGTAATTCTGAAAAATATTTATACAGTTATGCAAATGTTGGAAAAATAATCATTCTAAAATTAAACCTCTTACCATAGGCCTACAACGAATTATAGGTAAATCAAATAATTTCATTAATAACCAAAATATAAAATTCACATTTACATAAATAATTTCTTTAATTTAAATATTTTTTAATTTTTTAATAATTGAATATTTTTTAAATTTCATATCTAATATGGACACCACACGATAATTGTCGACACGACTTTCTTGAATGGCCTACTAAATTATACACATCTTTTGCTGCACTTCATTTAAACCTATGTGCTTGGATTTCACTCAATCAAGTCAGTTCTCCTTTCAAAGGAAGGAAAAAATACATTAAAAACTCAAAACATCTTCATTAAATATTATAAAACACAGAACCTAAACACCAAATACAATTAAAAAAAGTTTTAATTTTTTTTTTTTTTTTTTTTGTGTGTGTTTGTGTGTGTGTGTGTGTGTGTGCAATTAAAATTAGAGTTTCTACAGGAAAACAAGCCATTCGGCCAACAAGGAGGAAGACCAAATTTTCGGTGCACAAAAGTAAAAGTTAACAAGTACCATTGGACAAAAAGACACTGAAGTTAGTGCACCAACTGACTTAATTCACTACTCCACCAAGAGTTTCGAATGACAACAAATGGCATACTCATTAGGCCTAACACCACTTAAAACTTTTAAATTGCTGATAATTCTATAATTATTGCATGCAGATCAACTAACTAAATGCATACAAGCCTTAACCGGAACATATGAGCAACATAATCCGACTACTTTTAAAGCAAAAAAATGTAAAATTCACCAATATATAAGAATAAGAATAAAAACACTGAGCTGAAGTGTCAGGTAGCAAGGTAAATATATAATACACTTAGTGACCCAAAAGTATGCTAACATTTGAAAATTCAATAATTCACTGAACAAAGTAAGTACAGAGGTAAAAACCGACATGCTGAAATGGCATGGGATTTTATTGAAAGCAAAAATTGCCCGTAATCTAACTAGATGGGATCGACAATTATACCCAATGGCTTCCCACCCAACGAAGCAAGTCATTTGTGCAATATGGCGCTGCTGTTGCCATGCCGATGAAGACAAACGCATCTGGGTCTCAGCGACACAGGAACCCTTGCATGCAGTTCATGCTACAGTCAAAAGTCGTTAATTCGGACACCCATAATTCGGAATGATCTATAATCCGGACCTCAAAACTAAAAACTTTCTGCGCATGCGCCGCGTTGACACATGCGCATAGGCGTTTACGCGTGCGCGTAAGACCTTTTAGGACTGCGCATATGAGTGTGCGCAAGTGCAGAATACGTTTTCGCGTGCGCGTTTTATGTATAATGGACGTATAAGCTAAAATTATCTAATTATCTATTTCAGTTAATGTTGATGATTGCGTTGTTCCTTAATTTTCGAATTGGATCCGGCTTATTATTTTTTGCAGACTGTAAGAGCAATTTTATAAAAGTAAGCTTAAACTTTCGATTATATCAAATAGAATTTCCAATATATATTTGTTAATATGTAAAGGATCTAAAGCGAAAGTATGTTTTGAAATCCGAAATCTGTTTATCAATTTCACGCTGCTCGGCGGGGGGAACGCCGCAGCCGTAATGAATTGGAAGTTGATCTGTCAGCACTATCCTTATCTTCAGGGCAGATGTTTTTATTTTATTTGGCTTATAATTCCTTACCAAATTAGTATTTCATCTCGATGTGCTCCGTCTTTGATATGATTTAAAACAAGTTCCTCGTCATTATAATTCGCTTCCGATAGCGAAGAAAGTGACAGAGGTTAGTGAAAATGAAAAAATTTCGATTGACAAATTAGTGGGTGTTCTCGACACAGCAGTTATAGGACTTGAACAGCGGAACTTTGTAACTGAACAAGAAATTGTGTCTGTTTAATAGAATTAAAGAGAAAGTATTATCACATGAAACGAAGCAAAACTTAAACAACTTACATTGAAAGAAATGTTTAATAAAGTAAACAAATAAATATTAAGCTTTTTCTTTTAGCAAATTTTGATACCCTTTAGATCATAATTGTTCTTTATTTCATAAATTACGGTTTCATATTTTTAATTTTAGAATTTCTGCATGCCATCTTACGAGATTTAAACTGATGATCTATAATCCGGAAAAATCGATAATCCGGAATCGCCGAAGTCCCGACGAGTCCGGATTAACGACTTTTGACTGTACAGCAGACAGCAACGAACCGTGGAGGCTAGACGTGTAGCAACCAACACCTGCTCCACACATGCTCCAACGTTATGCTAACACAGAAGAGGAGGTTGTACAATTCGTCACAGATGTGTGAAGGAGGTGTCCGTCATCCTGTGGTGCTACTGCATGTCCCACTGCCAGGATTTTGCCTTGGTTTTTCTCAGTCCATTTCTTCCAAACACACATCACTGTTGTACCATTTAACTGGGTTTGCTTGATACAAAAGTCCACCCTCTCGCCTATGATGCGGCTTCATTCGAACTCAGTTGGCATGGTACCCTCTGCTGTAGATAAGGCATACTGACCTCTAATTAAGTGCTTGTAGACAAAGAACGATAAACAGATTACAGTACAAGTTTACAGTCCTCTACATACATGAAACTAGTGGCCAGAACTCGTTCCATGCATGTGCAATGACTTTGTAATTCTGATTATTTGAATGTGCTACTTTAAATTTCTTTTAAGTTTGGTTCAATTTGCATAATTTCTTCATAGTGTTTCAATTTTCACAAACATTAGCATACATTCCAGCTTCTGTATATCACAAGAACTATACCATAATTTTTTTCGCAGGTATCTTGAATTCACCAGGTAACTAAACAAAAACTATCAGATATTTCTCAGATTTCTGACATATCAAAATGTAAAAAATGTTTCAATTCCCATACAACAAAATTGCATATCATTAAATGAAAATTTGTTGTGAAAGTGAAACACTAAAAACAAACAGATGGTAACGATATAGACAAGGAACTAAGTGGTTTGCAGGAATACAAATCACATATCATTCATAAAATTTATTTACAGTCAACACACAGATTTTTACCTCTAGCTTCATTTATCCAAACATTCAAATTTGATAAACTCAACTAGAATATAGCATCTGTGTTCTGCTTACTTTTAACCCTTACATGCAAAAAGGAAGGTAGTCTACTTTACAAAGGTTCTTCATTTTTTCCTACTACTTATATTTTTGTTCACATTCTAATCTTCAGAAAGCTGGCATTTGATAGGAAGTTTTAAATACATTAAAAAATCATCAGTTCCAAAAAATATTTTATAGCAGATAAACCAAAAACATCTGCTATGATCAACAAGAACTACACATTAGAATTTAACAATATTTTTGAGCTAAATTCATAATGGCTTTATTTAATTTCAGCTGCACATTTGGCAAGAAATACAAGAAAATTTAAAGAGCTTATGTTGTGCTGAAAGGTAAAATTAAGAAACTAACAATCTGCCGGGCCACTAGAAAGATGAATTAAAGATTTTACCTATCATGCACTCACAATAATTGTCAAATCTGCAGATGGTAAATGCATGGTAAAGTAATATAATACGGATAGGTGATGATGTAGTCAAAGATACGGAATCATATTTCAGACTTCAGAAATTTTGGATTTCAGATCGCCAGTTTAAACCTAGTAAAATGATATGTAGACATGAAAACTTTGCAACTTCACTTACCGTTCAGGTCAAACAGAAAAATATTTTATGGCAATTCCAACACCACTGCCACATAGCTGGAACCAGAACAGGTACAACTTAGAGACCGCAAAAATTTTAGAGAAGCACTACACAGCAAAAATTTGGGATGCCAGAATCTTTAGAGTTTAGGCACTGAGCAGCAGAATTCAAGACCTGCAAAAATGCATGGAGCAGCAAAATGCATACTGCCTGCCTTACCTCCCCCCAACCCTTGCCAATATCAATGCATAATTACTAGCCATGGTGACAAGTCCCCTAGCCAATAGGTATTTGAAAGTAACATGGAGGCATCAGTCTGCAGTACACGTACTTTTTCTTGTTATATTCTCTATTCCAAGACTTTGCAAAGGGAGGGGAGATATTTTTTATTATTTTAGGCTGCTAATATGAATATTAAATCAATCCAGATATTCTACATCCAGATTTTGGATTTTTTACTGCAGTGCAAAAATTTATGAGACTTAAATATCAAAATATTAGATAAAAATTTAAAGATACCTCTGAACTCTTTGCATTACAGGCCACACAAATACACGGCCACCAGGCACCATTAGTGGATGAGAGTGACAGCATCCTACAAGGAAAAAGAATATCATGTAATAATAGTATACAGTATAATCTTCTTAATTATCCAACACAAATAGATAATCAGTTAACTCATAATGTAGGTATACAAAGATTAAAATTGTTGGACCCCTTGTATTATCGTGAAGTTGTTGTTTCATTTATGGTAGCCTGAGTAATTGAATGTTATGGAATAGCCTGAGTAGTTGAATGTTATGGAAAAGCCGGAGTGAGTAGTTGAATGTTATGACATAATTGGTTGCATGATTGCAGTAAATTTGTAAGAGCATGTGGTGTGTGTTGGTTAAGAAGTATATTGCTTGTTTTGTGGTTCAGATGGTAAAATGGCTGAATGTGGCAAGATTTATTTGAAGTTTCTGTACAATTTGAAAAGAAAGAGGAAAAGAGCATTACTTCTGTTTGTAAGAAGGAAACGTATGGGACTAATGATGCTATGGAGGATATTTTTTACTCTTATGTTGTGAATTTATATGGCTATGCCAGTGTATTCTAGTTCAGATTATTTTAGGAAGTTTTTGGATGCTGTTAAGGAATTTTGTTCGACTGAAGACATGTTAATTCATAAAAATAAGGTTAATGGACATTTCCTTTGTACAGCGCAAGATGAATTTCTATTTTTATGTTATTTCATTGTTTGATTTGAAATAGTTTATTGAGATCATATATTTTTTCGTTGCCTGCTCCTTTGACTTTTTAAGTGAATATAGTTCGATGTGTACAAGGACAAAGTCAAAGGGAGTGAGCAATGCCTAGTTTATGCAATTCTCTGATTTTTTTAAAAGTGAAAATAGGTCGATGTGCACATGGATACCGAGTTCGTGTAATTCTTTGTCTTATTTTGGCTTTGTGTAAAAAATCGCTGCTACACAAGGCAAAATGAAAAGTCAAAGAATTGCACAAACTCTGTATCCATGTACTGCAGAAAATATCCAATTTTTGCCAAGAGTTACCCATAAATATATTTTTACCAAATTATTAAAACACATCTCTAGAGGAATATCAAACTTAATATAAAAGAGAGTTCTCCATCAATGCAAGAGTATTTTAAGACTGCTGAATACTGGTAGCTAAATCAGGGTTTTAATCCGTACAAGTAAGCAGCACACTCATTTCTGCGATTTTCTTCACGAGCGATGCTAACACGATCAGTTTCCCCTAAAAAAGTCTTCCCATGAAAGCATACTTCATCTAACGCAATTATCCCTTTGCAAGCTCTGCCACATTGATATAAACAAAGGCAGCAAAAACTGTCCATATCACAAAGTAATTTTACATTTTACAGCTACTATAATGAAATTATTTCATTCAAAAATTTTCTCATACACAATGCATTCTTTAAACAAAAGTACAAGAGAAAGGAAATAATAGGTTTTAATGAAAGTTTCCCACCACTGCAAATATTGTCTGCACAAACAGTTAGTGTATTTTGTCAAACGATTTTTGGCATTTTAAAGAAAGACTTGCTTTAGAACACTGTTGTGAAATTTATAAAAAAATATTGTCATTAAGTACAAGTCTTAAATAGAAGCAGCACACTACTAAATTAGAACCATTATTTATTTCTAGTTCTGTATCAAAATGGCAACTTCAGAATGCTACCAAATCATGTGTATAGCTTCAGGTACTAAAGTTGTATCATACGAGACTGGAAGTTTGGTATCAAAATTTCAAAAACAATGACTATGACAGTCACGAAGCAGAGTGCTTTGGCTGGCCATCTTATGTTGATAAGGCCACTTGCGAGAACTTGTAAAAGATCAGTATGCAACCACTCAAGAGCTTAATGCCATGTCCCTTAGTAACAACAATGCATCGCACAAACTTGACATACAAGTTCAATCACTGGGTAGCTGACTCAAGCATATAAGGACAGACGGGTTCAGGCCTGCACTAATCTGCTTGAATATCAATGCGAGCACAAAAGTCTGGAGTGGATCGTCATTTGTGATGAAAAGCGGATTTACTCCAACAACACAGGCTGAAAACGGAGGTTGGTCTGCACCCAGTGACGATTAAATATTAAACACAGTGAACTATTTCTTTAATTTAGCTTCACCTCCCATCTTAATAAAATATTTTCTGAATGTAACATTTTAGTACTTTCCATAAGTAAGAGAATTTTCCCATTTTGTCAATTACTAATATATAGATATTAATGCAATCCGATACAAACAAAATCTGATGTACAAAAAAATGTGCAACACAACAATCATGTTATGCAAGCATGAACATGCATGAAGCTCATCGGTGAAGATAAGTCTAAAATGGATGTTAAAGATGACTGATGCTCATCCAGAGGCTGCGGCAAAATCAGTGCAACCCATACGACTGCACTTAATGACAGAATTTAGAAACTATAAAGGTTGCCTGTCAGCAGCCAAAAGACAAATGCCTGCTCTGCACCTGCTTAAACCATCAGACTTCCACTATCATACTGCTCCCTGGATGTTGGAAGGCAGATAGCAGGTTTCTGGAAAAAATATTTTAATTAACACATTAACGACTGACGTTGCGTTTTCGCAACATTCGTCAAAACATTTTTCCTTCCACTTCTATAAAATGTTTCTCTTTATCGCTTTTGCATGTTGTAGATAATGCTTCAAAGTTTTTTGGAGAAAATTTCTCCTCTCCTTTAAAAACTTTTTATGAAAATAAATGATCATTTTGGCAATTTTTTGCAAGGAATTTTTCTTTTAATTTTGAGTACAACTCATAGCAGGCACAACCAATCTAATGATTTTATGAACATATGAGAGTTTTCTAGAAACATTAGACAATAAAATGGCATCAAAATGTACTTATTGTTTTGTCTTTTTACTTCCTTGTACGAAGTAAAAAGGAAGTATTGTAATCGCGAAAAGTTTCAGGCAGCATATTTCAACGAAAATATCCATTTCGACTGCTATCGAATGCAATTTAACGATGTTTTTGAGTTATATCTGTACGTAAGGACAGAATAAGACTCTTTTCCTCCAAAAAAATTATAAAACTGCTTTAAAATTAATTCTGAAGAGAATTTTTCATGCCGTCTGTACAAACATATGCGTACGTACTTATCTCACATAACTAAAAAACAAGTAGCCTCAGAACATTGAAATTTTGTATATAAAACTGCTATAACATGTAGATGTGCACCTCGTATTTTGGTTGCAATCGACCGCACCAGACGTATATAAATATATTTATATATATATATCCACTCTGTTACCCGGCTCAGTGATCTCAGTTTCTTTACTCTTATATGTTTGTAAATTGTACATTTTTTGCTTTAAAAATGGTTGAATTATGTTGTTTTTATCTTCCGGTTAAGGATTTTATGCCTTTACTAAATGTGTGCAATACTTTTAGAATTATCAGCAATTTTAAAGTTGTTTAATTGGGCTAAGCCTGTTTTTAATGGCGGCCATTGATGTTTACATTTGAAACAGGAGACTAGTGGATTTGTTGCCAATCTAGAGAAACTTAGCTTCGCAACAACAAAGATAACACATTCATTTATTATTGCCAATTAAATCATGCTTAATTCTTTCTGGAATTTTTTCGAGGAAATAAGCGTTTGAAATTTACTTCGTAATTTTTAATATAGATATTTTGAGTTTTTATGTATTTTTGCCTTCTCGCGAAGTGAGGACTGAATTAATTAAATGAGAAATACTCAATCGTTGCGAAAAACTGTTTCTTTTTCGTTTTGTTTGCTTAATTTCTTTTATACATCATTCTAGCTTTATTATAGTATTTTAATAGAACATGTGGCAACGATTAGATAATTATATTCTTTAAATGATATAAATTTTGTGCATTACGAGTTATAATATGAACGAAATATATACGTTAACTGTTATTTAATTATTGGATTATATAACAGTTAACTTAGTTTCCGTTATATAAATTATATATATAAGTTAACTGTTATATAATTATTAATACTGTTAAGTGAATCTAGCGCCAGAGTGTCGCTATGGTAAACAAATACTAGAGTGAATTTTAAAGAATGCATTTATTCTATTTTGGTTTATGCGCTGTCGGCGAAGTAGATTTAATTCAATCCAATAAGTTTAAATCAAATGCAAGAAAAAATGCGTATAATTTAATATTCCAATACAACGAAGTCATGTGGTGTACACATCAGATTTTTTGGTGTAAATATGCACTTTTTAAAATATTTCAAAAATACATTAGTTCAAGCCGTGTCTTTATGAACGTACCCAAATTTCATACATAGGCGATATTTTTTACAAATTCCACAAAATGGTTCCAAAACAATGGATTTTCAAGACAATTTTTGTCGTTAAATAGTCAGAATTTGCAAAAATGTTAGATGAAGATGATATTTCCAAACTTTCATTAGACAAAACAGATTTAGTAGTGGTTCTCCCAGATCCAGACATTGACAATGAAGAATGCATAAATGATGACGTGTTAGGTGACAATTTGGCATACTGAAAGATGTATCAGGTTAGATTGAGATTTTTTTGTCCAGAAAACGTATTGAATTGGTAAAAAAAAATTAAAAATCTGAATCAATCTGAATTTTAAAAAAACATTGTTCTCCTATATATGCAGTGATGCTTGTAGAGACAGATTCTACAGAAAAGGCAAAAAAGGAAACAATGTCAGAAAAATTGCATGATCTAGCCTGTAGATACATTTTTACAATAATCAGAACTTATCTTTTGGAACATATCCAAGAAAGTGTAAAATATGCAAATCTAAAAAATTGATAAAAATTTTCTCTTTCTGTTCTTATAATGAAGCTCTTTATAGGCTTTCTGCTTTACTCTGGCTATGTACGTCCTCCTCAAGAAAGACTTCACTGGTCATAAATGAATGTGTTATCTTTGTTGTTGCGAAGCTAAGTTTTCTCTAGATTGGCAACAAATCCACTAGTCTCCTGTTTCAAATGTAAACATCAATGGCCGCCATTAAAAAGAGGCTTAGCCGCAATTAAACAACTTTAAAATTGCTGATAATTCTAAAAATATTGCACGCAGATTTACTAAAGGCATAAAATCTTAACCGAAAGATAAAAACAACATAATTTAATCATTTTTAAAGCAAAAAATGTACAATTTACAAACATATAAGAGTAAAAAACTGAGATCACTGAGACGGGTAATAGAGTGTATATATAAATATATTTATATACGTTTGGTGCGGCCGATTGCAACCAAAATACGAGGTGCACATCTACGTGTTATAGCAGTCCTATATACAAAATTTAAACGTTCTTAGGCTACTTGTTTTTGATCTATGCGAGATACGTACATACGCACGTTCGTACAGATGCCACAAAAAATTCTCTTCAGAATTAATTTTAAAGCACTTTTATAATTTTTTTGGAGGAAAACAGTATTTTATTCTGTCCTTACGTACAGATATCACGCAAAAACATCATTAAATTGCATTCGATATCAGTCAAAATGGATTTTTTGTTGAAATATGCTGTGTGAAACTTTTTGCGATTACAATACTTCCTTTTTACTCTGTACAAAGAAGTAAAAATGAGAAAATTATGCGTTGGCAGTTAGAACTTGCTTGTTTCAAATTTGATATATATTGCCCTGTAAATAAAAATGAAATTGCAGACACTTTATCAAGAATAAATGCAACTATAAACACCACAAATAGCTCTAAAGACACTACATGATGAACTTTGGGCTAATCTTTGGAATATGGTAAAGGTAGTTTGGTGACATTTTGGTAAGGCGATAAAGGTTACTAGCTAGGACTTTAGCAGTTTACATGTATAAAGTCGTCAAAAGTGTGCACAATGTCATTTTTGTGCAATTCTGGGATGATTTTTTTAAGTGAAAATAGGTCGATGTGTACATGAATGATACTGTGTATGTGCAATTCTTAAACACGCAGCAAGCAATGGGCAATTCTGCACTTTCTCCCAATTTTGCACCTAATCTTCGTCATGATTAAGTACTTTTGTTCCATAAAAGTTCTAGCATAAGCGTAATTCGGCTAGCCGATTGTTGAGAAAAAATAATGAGTTAGATTCCCTTTTGCAATACCTTGACCTGATATGTCATCTGCTACTGTTATTGCTCACTTTAAAAAAATTTTCTCAATTTTTGGGATGCCAGCCTACATACATTCTGATAGAGGATCTTCATTTATGTCTCGTGAATTAAAATGCTTCTTAACTTCACTTGGTATAGCAACAAGTCGCACAACTGCATATAATCCTTAAGGAAATGGCCAAGTAGAGAGGCATAATGGAATCGTATGGAAAACCATTTCACTGGCATTAAAATCAAAGAACATGGCTATCAAACATTAGGAAGGCTTCTGCAACCTGTTTTGCATTCGATTCGGTCACTCTCATGTACAGCAACAAATGCCACACCACATGAACGTATGTTCATCCATGCTAGATCATATAATGGACGTTCTTTACCTACGTGGTTAACACAACTCAGAACAGTATTAATGAAGAACCATACACAAGCTAATAAATAGGAGCCTATTGTGCAGGAAATGGAGCTCATTTAGACTAACCCAGATTATGCTTGCGTTAAACTTCCAGATGGTCATGAAACCAACGTTTCAATATGATATTTAACACCCAGAGAGATGCTCTCATACATGCCCATGATATCGAGTTGGATGAAAACCAACAACTTTCAGATTCTTTTGCTCAACAGAACGAAGGTCTGGCCACTGAAGCTCCTGAACCCATATCGAAAACTGTAAGAAAATCGACAGTGGAGGATCCCCAAAGCAATGATTTACTATGCCCTAGCAGACAAAAAGATTTTGAAAATACTTAAAATAACTTTCATGAGAGTGAATCCTTGCATCCGAAAAGGCACAGAAATCAGCCTTCTTATCTGGCAGACTATGTAACTTATTAATAATCTTTGGGAGGGGTGAATGTGGTATTGTTGGCAGCACTAAAATTATACTACATTGAATGGCAAGATTGTTAATTTAAATATTGTTCTTACAATGTAACAATTGTTTTATGTGCAATTTTAGTTGATTAAAATCATTTGAGCTTCTCTAGGAAAGTGATTTATTATATTTATAACACTGGGTAAAAAGAATGCACTAAAAGATGCTGCTTTATTTATGTGTTCAGTCCATGCATAAGAAACAATGTGTATGATAAAGGGGAACTGTCTTCAAAATAATAAAATTTCAAATGCTTATTATAAAAATATTTTTTCCAATACAAACTAAACTAATTAAAAGTTAAAATGCCCTCATTCACAACAGCCACATGCTCCCACATGTAGCTAGCGAGTCATACTCCATTACACAACTAAGTGCAAGACCTCAGGTTTTACATTTAATTTTGCACTGAAATTCGAAAGTATATTTAGATGTATAATTTTCAAGAAAATTTTGAAATGTGTAGTTTTTAAAGGAATATGCATAAAGTGATGAAAACTTTTACCTAATTCCTTGCATTTCGCAAAAATTACCCAGCATGAAATTATATCGTACTTATTTCAAACACTAAAATATGCAACTGGACAATAAATCCGGCTCCAGATACTCTCATAACTTAAAATTAGTTCAGTTTATCTCGTAATACCACCAAATAGTTCGAGAAAAAGTACATGGCGATTTCGCACAATCTGTGGAACAGAAGGTTAGTAGGAAAAATGTAAGCACACTCGACAGTAAACGTAGAGCAGCTGATATTAAAATTACAATTCATTTTTCACAAAAAATTAAAAAATAACAGCAGCTCTAACAAATACAGTGAAACATGTGGTGAAATGACGTAAGAGCAAACATATCTCACGCATAGAATAAATGTCATATTTCGAAGATCAACTAATTTTATAAAATTATTTTACAAAAAGCGTGACCAAAATATGGAAAAGTTTTCTTCGTTACCTGAAACCACCAACGCCTCGTTCGGCCCACACGTAACAAATCCAGACATGCTAATTTAAGTCGAATAGAATTACGTCAAATCTTTCCACAATCAAATCGAGAATGCAAACGCTCTTTCACTTTGCAACACCCTCTTTACAATTAGTGTTGCCACCAAGGAGGTTAGAATAGAAGGAGGGAAGGTTCAACTCAAACGGTGAAGCTTGGCGGCCATGTTACTGTTATCACTGTGACTTGTGCAAGGAAGTCTGTAATTGTAACATTTTTTTTTTTTTTTTTTTTTTCCCTTTTCTTTTTGAAGCATGTCTGCTTATATTGCATATGGATGCACAAATAGATTTTCGAAAAATATTTCTGGGATTACTGTTCACTCGTAAGTATTTTTTTTTTATGTAATTTCATAAATATGTTAAAAAATGTCACAATGTCATGTTGTTTTCTTTCCAGATGTGACAAAAAAGACTTAATAATAATCGAAACATGTTAAATACAATGCATTTTAATGCTTTTGCTTACAGCTGGTATCTTCGTTCCTTAACATACAATGATATATGCTAGCATTATATGCTTGCTGCATAATTTGAACGCTTAGATAATTCGTTTTATAATTTTCACGAAAAGTAAGAAATCAATTGTTACTATTTTTATGAATTGTAAAGGTGTTAAATAAAGCAACGAATACTTTTACTTTATGTATTAATTATTATTCATTTCTTCAGTTTTGTGAACTGTTACGAATATAATTTGTGCATTTGATCAAGATAAACTGTTCTGTCTGTTAAAATGTTTTTTGGCATAAAGCTTACAAATTTCTGGGCAGTATAGCGATAAAACGTAAGTAAAATATTTACACAATTGAACATGTGAAAAGATATATCCAAAAATTTATATAGGTATATTTCTGTAATTCGGCTTAATTCAAGGTAATTTCTTTGAGATCCATAAATATGAAACGCGCATAAACTGAAATCATTGAATTCACATAAATCTGTTTTATTTTATTAAGATTTATTTTCTTGTTGATATAAGGTTTTTGATTGTGAAAAGAATCTATTTAAAACTTTCATTTAGAAAAAAAGCAACATGTTACCATTTTTTTAAATAATTATCTGCTATTAATTTCAGGTAAAAATGATTCTTTAATAAATTATAATAATATTGCGAATAAATCAGAAATATCACTTCTTAAAGAAACAATTGGAAAGTATACCAGAGAAGTTGCTAATAAAACCTAAACAAATTCTTGAAATTATGCAGAAACATAATTTGTAAAGGCTTTAATGTTATGCACATGCATTTAGATTTCGAAATATTTCTTAATGATTTTCTGTACTTAGTAAATTACAGATATCACCTTTATAACTTTAAAACAAAAAACTAACAATAGCGAAGCATTTCATTATAAATTTAACATATTTTTACTGGAAAATTCATGCATAGAACAGCTTACAAACACGTACGTTTCACTACCGTATTGCAATGTTTTGAAGTAACAAACATGGACGCCGCTTGTTCCGTGGAGTTTCATTCCCCGATAGTGGAGAAAACTGCGAACCCTCCCTCCTTCTATTCTAACCTCCTTGGTTGCCACTAATTAAATATTAATACTGCTCGAGAAGCGATCTAGGAGATGCTATTCTTTTTATGAAAAAGATTATTTAAATGTTGTTATATAATTCAGGAGCAGAAATATTAACATCATCTCTGTTCTGAAAAAATAATGACAATATACATAATAAAATGCTCAGCATAGGACATTAGTTTAGATTTTTCTCACGCATTTATTTTATCCTCATTTGGAAGCTTAACTATTCATGAACTATTCATTTGATAACATATTACGGAAGAAAGAAGCAGCGCGATTTAATCGTTAATTTTGCTTTGATTAGAAGAATTTTTAATTCCTTTGGTCATCTGATGAACCTGTTGCGTATACCATGCAGTATTCTTAGTTTTCTATACCAATAACTTAACTTTAATGTTAAGATTCTCGAATTCGTAATATACGTGAGAATGTTTTGATTGTTAAAAAAAAATAGGCTTTGAATTTTTTAATGTATATGGTGTTATGTAAACTGATGATACATATCCATGTCCTTTAGCGTAAAGATGTTATGTTTCCCAAGTTATCGTATTGTGGATTGCAAATAAATTTTGGAGTTAAGAATTTTCGAGTAGTTATTTCTTGAAACTCGCTGTAACATTGTGGTGACCCGAACAATTTATTGGAGTCGAGTAGGATAGTGTTTCCTGCAATTTGAACTCATAGTAATTAAGTAATTCTAAAACAATTTATTAATTTGAATGAATTAATAAAGAACTGAAAGTCTATGAAGGGAATCATTTAGTTGAAATTTTAATGTTTTAATTGAAGAATTAAACAAAGCAAAACAAAGCAATGTTTAAGTCATAGAAGCGAAATAGACTACGTTGGGAGATTAGTTTCCATTGCTTAAAGAAAAAGATAACGAGATTAAAGAAAAATTAAAGGAGATGAAGAATATGATACAGAATATGCAGATATTGAGATGTATGAAGAAAAAATGTTTTGGGCGAAAGTTAAAGCACAGCTGTTTTTAGAAACCAAGTTATGCAATGAATACTTCTGTTTTGAACAATTGGTCGCCAAATCTTGCTAAAAGTAAACTTAAACTGCAAAAAATCCAACTGAAATAATGTCCGAAGGATTCTCCTTTCCGAGACAATAAGCCTTGACAATAAGTCAAGATCGGTCAAATTCTGGATTTCTTCTATCCTGTTCTTCACAAAGGGCTTTAACTCTTTATTTATTGGCCTTGGCCCTTTATCCAAAACAGACACGTTTCTGAATCAGTCAAGAAGCAATTACATCAAATTTCAAACAGTTACTTATTTGTTTAGCACAGAAGATAATAAACATCCCAACAATTCGAAACGTCTGATAGGTTTGAGAAGGGTGACTCTATTCTTGGAGCATATGAAACAAGTAATAAGTCTAATTTCCTCGAGTGACCGTTCTCAAACACACTATTAAGCCATATGCTGACATACAAGCATCTGTTAAAGAATGAATATCAAACGAAACATAATCACTTAAATTGAATTCAGAAAGATAATATATAGGAACTGAGACGTTGCTCAATTGTTCAAATTCTCTGCGCCACAAATGCCACTTGGAGTTCAGTGAGGGTAGGAGCTTATCCTCTCAATCCATTCCAACATCGGACAATGAAAGTTCGTCTGAATCCAATTGGGGCAAAGATACGGCCCAATACTTGCAAGACAAAGCGCTTAGTATTAGACCTGTTAGTAAGAACGTTCATCATTTTTTTTTACATAGAAAGAAATCAAGTCCTTGTCTGTGTCCCAGGCCAGTCCTAGAACCTCCAACGGCATAATATATCTAGTGATAGCTTTTTCCGTTGTAGGGTTTCCCTTAGTTTGCGTAACAAATTATTTTGAGTTTGGTATCTTTCCTGAACCTCTCATTTCCCCTTCTCATTTCATCGCCAGAATGCAGATTTAAAGTCAATAGAAGAGAGTATAAAACTGACGAAACTAGAACTTTATTCAGAGTGCGATTGCGCTACACTAGCGCACGCTCCTATTTGTCCTCTCTGCTGTTACGCTGAGTTGTTTCTACTCTTATGGCCATTTAATAAGCCTATCACCGGGTAGTTGTAAATCATCCTGGTTAGTCTTAAACTAAATTGTTAGTCCAGCACTACTCTTATCTTTGAATTTATTGCTAAATTAGTCTTATGTTCCCACCACAAGTTGTCTGTGAGCACAAAGTACGTGCATTTGTATTAAGAATTTGGAGGATAATAAACTGTTTCTTTTATCCTTCTGCTGTGTTGGTATTTGTAGCAAATAGTTTATCCAACAGATGGCAGTATCTGCCAACTCCTTGGAATTTCAAGCCATCGCACTGAGTGAAAAGTATGTTCAGAGTAGGGTAGCAACTTTTTCGATGCGACCCCTTTTAAGAGAATTTTGGCGACCCCAAAATCACAAAAGTTAGCGTCACAAATATTCGAACACCGGTACCCTATCAGAAAATGACAAGATGGCGTTTTTTTTTTTTTCTCTTTCTCTCTGTGTGTCGTGTTATTCCATCCTAGGTTTTCTTCTCCCCCCCCATCTTGGAAAAAACTGGAAAAAATTGGTTACGATCTCTTTTTGAATGGGGAGATGCCATTTTGAGAAAAAGCTGACGACCCTATCTTGGAGAATGAACATGACCGCTCTACACACCCTTCTCTCTCTCTCTCTCTCTTTGAATTGGGAAGCCATTTTGGGAAAAAGCAGACGACCCTATCTTGGAGAATGGAAATGAACGCCTCTCCCTCTCTCTTTGAAATGGGAAGCCATTTTGGGACCCTCTATTCTTGGGGAGGGAGAAAACTGAAGTCTGCATTTCGCTGTCTCTGAATGCGGAAAGCCCTTTTGGGAAAAGCGGACCCTCTTCTTCTGATCTTGGAGAACTGGAAATGAACGCTCTACACGATCTCTCTTTGAATTCAGAAGGTATTTTGGGACCTTCTAATGTTGGAAAACTGAAATGAACGCTCTACGCATTTTCTCTCTCTCTCTCTCTCTTTGAGATGAGTAGCCATTTTGGAGGATTCTCCACCACCATCCTAACCTTGGAAAACTGAAATGAACGCTCTACACCTCTCTCTCTCTCTCTCTTTCTCTGAAATGGGTAGCCATTTGAAAACTCCCTAACTTTGGAAAAAAACAGAAATGAACGCTCTACACCATCTCTCTTTGAAAATGGGGGGTGTCATTTTGAGACCTCCCTCCCCTAAACTTGAAAAAAAAACTGAAATGAACGCTCTACACTTTCTCTCTTTGGACATGGGTAGCCCTTTGGGGACCCTCTCCTCTTGGTAGGAAAAAAAAGAACTGAAGTGAAGGCTCTACACAATCTCTCTTGGAATGGGATCCATATTTCGGGAAACGTGGATCACCTCATGCTGGAAAACTGAAGTGAACCACCAAGATTGGACTCTATATAATATTTTTTTTAATTGACATCATGACCCTCCTCCAATTTGTTATTAAAAAATTGTTTTTGTTTGTTTTGGTTTTTTATCCCATTTCCGATGTGATTTCAGAAATGCAATTCCATAACAGTTCAATTT